TGGTGATTTTCATCAAGTAACTCAACATTGCCCCCCTCAATGCATGCGGCCAGCATTGAACCCCAAACTCTACCCTACACTCCAGTTGACAGGGGCTGAGAGTTCTATCGGGGGCTTCATCTTTTCTCATTTAGCAGTGGGGTCCACAGTGCCAAAGGGAAGGATTCGCTAGCTCTTGTGAAAAATGTTCTCCACACATTGGTAGATGGCATGAGCTACGGTCAAACACTTAGACATTGCAATAACATGGATCTTATTCCTCCCCCTGACTTCAAGCCTATGGACAGTGGTTTCCTTGAGAGGGGCACCTAGTTTCTAGGCCTTTTAAATTCACATAAGAATAGCCTCTAATTAGCTGTATGATCTTGGGCAATTTCACAGAAAGACACATTTAATGAGCATCTGCTGTGTGTCAGGCATGCTACCTGCACTTTTGTACATTAAACCATTTAATAGTAATATGCTAATGCATTTGTATGCTCCTGTACTGTCAAATTTTACTGCAAGCTCAGTTTCATTGTGGGTAAAATGAGAGGTTGGACCGAACCATGTCTAGATCCTTAATGTCTAATCTTCTGCACTTCTCTCGGGTGATCCTGATATAAGAGAGCAAGGACCAAGTTTAAAAGGAGGAAATTGAGGGGCCCCTCCACAGAGACCATAGCAAACACAAATTATCTCTGAGGCTATATGAAACGAAAATATAAACAGGTCCCAGTTGGGTACTTTACGTAAATTCATGTCTCAGTTCATTTGGGCTGCTATAGTAGAATACCAAAGACTGAGTGGCTTAAACTACAGAGATTTATTTGTCCCAGCTCTGGAGGCTGGAAGTCCAAGATCAAGGTGCTGGCCGACTCAGTTCTTAGTGAGGGCTCTCTTCCTGCCTTGCAGACGGCCACCTCCTCGCAGTGTCCTCACGTGGCGTTTCCTCTGTGTGTGTGCGAGGGGAGAGAGAGAACAAGATCTCCCTCATGTCTCTTCTTATCAGGGCCTAATGTCACTATGGGAGCTCCACTCTCATGACCTAATCACCTCCCAAAGGGTTCATCTCCAAATACCATCACATTGGGGGTTAAGACTTCAACATATGGATTTTGGGGGCGCACAAACATTCAGTCCAACAATTTATATATGATAGACCCAAAGGATTTCCAGAGTGCTTGGGTTATGTGACTAAGCATAATAGTTAGAACTCTTATGAGAGACGGATTACAATTATCATTCCCATGCTACAGGGATGACGCTATACAACAAAGAGATGAAGTATCTTCCCAAGTCTCCCGGCTAATGAGTGATGGGATTTGCACCCTACTAGCCCAAAGTCCTCATGCTCAATGCATTATAATGCACTGTAACACCATGCAGAATGGGAGGGTAGGGCAGAAAACTGCCCTGTGTACCTAGAAGCTACTCCTCAGGGCTACCAGGGAAGATGTGATTCTGGGCCAGGCAGGTAGTTTGTTCAACTCAGCATGGAAATTCTTTTAAGCTATTTCTCTAAACTCAGAGACTCTACAGGAATGTAATTATAACTTTAAAGCAATAGGAAGACATAAAATGCAACTTTTGATTCAAGTTAAAGTCCATCTAGTCATTTAAAAGAATTGATCTTCTGCCTGGATATTTCCTTTCTTTCCAAGAGTTTAGTATAATCAATATCCACAGAGACAAAACGATCCTTTCTCATTTCTCAGAGTGCAGGCTCTTCTCTCAGATGAGAAAGGGATAATTTTCAGCATCTTCTGCTAACACTTCAAACAGTCCCTGTGGAAAAGAAGATTCCCGTGCCTTACAAAACTGAAGCAACATACAGGATACTGTAAACCCCCAATACACTACCAAGAAATAAACCTCTTGTCACTTGAGAAACCATTTCTACCTTCACCCTACAAACCTTTGCTCCTTTTCCACTAGAAGAACCAGGTCCAGTTTCCACAATGCTGTCTCCTGGGCAAGGAGAGGTGACTGGTGGCCATTTCATACAGGAAGCATCTGGGGTTGAGAAAAGTACAAGGGCATGCTTGTGGGGGACATCTCTTCGTAGTGGCCAACCTCCCACCACCGTCCGGAGCTCTTTCACGAAGACCAGCAGACCAGGGCTAAGCCCTTACACAAGTGAAATGGCTGTGAAATGGTTTGCACTGGGCATTGAGAAGAAGCAGAGGGAAAGATCAGGTGGCAGGTCTGGTGGGCCCAGAAGCAGTGTCTACTGAGCCTTGAGATTATTTCCCTTTCAGCAAGGTATTTGCCTAAGGTCACTGGTCTCCTTCAAAATCGCTCTGTTCTTGGGCTCCTTGCCAAGCTCCATGGTCTACTTGCCAAGCAGGAAGGAGGTCAACAGGCTCCGGGGAGGGCTGGGACAGAGCCGTGCTGGCTCTCAGTGTGGGTGGAGGTTGGAGGACCCTCACTAACGTGGCCTCTCAGGGCTTCTCGGCAGCAAAGGGTACTGTCAGTGGTGATGGGTCTAATGCAATCTGTCCTGTCTTGGCATGCACCTCTAGCCAAGCAGTCACTTTGCTTTTCAGTCAGCCATGGAGCAGTTTTTGAGTCTCTACTTTGTGCCAGCACCACTGGCTAGAAATACAGACAAAAGGCAACGTCCCCACCATCAAGGACTATATAGATTAGTGGGAGGCAGGCCCCTCCTTGGGGAGGGACTGGTGCAGCCCCAGGGGGCCCCATGTGGCAGAAAGGAAGATGCTACCCTTTTCTGGACACTGAGGAACTTCAATTTGAAAATCCCTGTTGCTAAAGATACCCCCCATGGCCTATGAATGATGCTGACATCTCAGTCTCCTTCCACAGGCAGTTATCCGGGGGTAGGCTGAGTGGTCCTAGGACCTGGACCCCTCTAAGGATGGGTGCAAAGACCTGCGTTGTCCAGAATAGTAGCCACTGGCCACATGTGGTGGTTGAAACTTAAACTAAATAAAATTAAAAATCCAGCTCTTCCGTTACATTAGCCACCTTTCAAGTGCTCGGTAGCCACATAAGGGTGCCATATTGGAGAGAGCAGACGTAGGACACTTCTGTCATTCCCGTGAGTTCCATCGGATATTCTTCTTGCATAGATTATTGCAATAGAGAGTGGCACACCCTAGGAGAGCTCTGGAGCTGGGGGGGGGCCTAAATCAGCTGGGGGGTGGTGGGATGGTGAAGCCAATGGAGAAAGGAAAATCTTTGCCAAGGAGCTGCATCTTAGCTGAGCCACAGTCTGAGGCTCGCAGCTGTCTCCAGGCAGGACGGAACCCAAATCTTACCTTGTCTTCACCATTGTTGCTGCTCCCCGGGCCTGAGGCCCCTTCCTTCTCTTTCCACATGTCTCCCTTTGTCTTCTCGTCCACTCCATAGCTTCGTTCGCCATTTCTTCGGAGATTTTCAGCTGAGGCTGTGTTTGTACAGTCCAGCAGATCTCAAACTGAATCAGAACCCCCTGGAGGGCTTGTTAAAAGACAGATTCCTGGGCTTCACCTCCAGTTTCTGATCAGTAGGCCTGGAGCGGAGAGAACTTTCATGTCTAACAAATTGCCGGGGGACGCTGATACTGCTGATGTAGGGACCACCTTTGAGAACCATTGGTATGATCTAAAGAATCACATTCTTTGATTCATTCATTCATTAAATATTCATTTTATTAATTTATTAACATTTATTAATCTATTAATAAAATTTATAAATTAATTAATTTAAAGCATTAAATATGCTGCCATGTGCCAGGTGCTCTTCCTGGGTGTGAAGAAACCAGGCAAGATCCCTGTTCCAGGGAGCTTCATTTTAGGGAGGGGAAATAGGCAATAAACAAAGCTATGTCAGGTAGTAATGAACGTTGTAAAGAAGAATAAAGCAGGGGGAGGGGAGAGGGCTATTACTTTTTTTTTTTTTTTTTGCTGAGGAAGATTTTCCCTGAGCTAACGTCTGTGCCAGTCTTCCTTTATTTTGGATGTGGGACACCTGCCACAGCATGGCTTGATGTGCAGTGTGTAGGTCCACACCCAGGATCTGAACCCACGAACTCTGGGCTGCTGAAGCAGAGTGTGCCAACTTAACTGCTACACCACTGGGCCAGCCCCAAGAGGGCTATTTTATAGGTTCATCAGGAAAGGCCTCACTGACAAGGCGACATTTGAGAAAAGACCTAAAGAAAAGAAAGGGAGCAGAGCATGACCCTGGCCTTTCTGACTCCATTTTGCTCCATCCTCAGCTTTTTAATTTGAAAAATGAGAGTCATGTTAAACTCAAGGTCTAGGTTTTTAGACAAATTTGATTGTGTGTACATACATTTCACTAAAAATAAGAATGATGGTAAAGGCCATAGATTTGATCGATCCCAGCTTGCAGTTCCACCTTTGGGTCCCAGCAGCTGAGGCTCCCTCTGGGCCTCCTCTGTCCATACCCCTCTCCACAGGGTGGAGTCTGTAGGGCTCAGAGGAGGACACCAGGAGCCTGTATCCCCCTTCTAGAAGATGCCTTAGGATTCCCAGTTCTAAATATGGCTCCAGCTCATTTCCAGGGCCTGCAGGCCTCTTCCCTGCCCATCCCCCCCAGGCCCATCTGCATAGGGGCGGGGTGGGTGGAGCTTGGCCTAGGACCTAGGATGTCCATCCGTAAGCATCTGAGTGTCCTACTAATGGGGGATGGAGCTGTAGGAGAAGGGGCTGGACTGGGCCAACGGCTCTATTTATCTTCTTGTCCTGGGTTCTACAAAGATCAGAGGCAGGCCTGTCAGCCTGAACCAATTAGCTGAATGCTCCTTACCTCTATCCAGCTTTGGGGTCCAGATAGAAGAGAGTAGGTCAATCAATACTTATCAACCATTGCTGGAGAAATAAGCCTATGTTGTAGAGACCATGAGTCAATAGTGGTCTCTTTATAAGTAAGGACAGCTTATGGGTGGGATCGGTTCTATCCCTTCTTATAAACACAAGCCTGTATGATGGAGTGCAAACTGTGTGCCTTTAACATCTAATTTTCCTTTTCAATCTGTGATATCTTCCTAGGCACAGCTGTCTCAGGCCTTAAATGGAGTTTCCGATAAGGCAAAAGAAGCAAAGGAATTTCTGGTTCAGCTGAAGAACATTCTGCAGCAGATCCAGGTGAGCACAGCCCCAGCGTGGGGAGGTTGAGTCAGTGCACGAAGTACATGAAAAGTATCAGGAAGAAAGGAAAAGTCTCTTGGCGAGCATCTTGTCAGTGATGAACACGAGAAGATTGGCTTGTCCTACTGCACAGCCTCAGATGTTGCATACCCCACACACTCAGTCCATTGACACCCGTGTGACACCTGATACGGGAAAGGGATTTCACATGAACTCAGTCAGAGAGAACTGTAGAAAGAGAGCTGGAGAGACGGACTACAGCACTCTGCATGGTCAGGTGGTCCTATGCGGTGTCTGTGTATGGTGATTTTGTTCCCTTGTCATCAATACATCAAAATATAAACGCATCATTTCTTAAATAAATGTATTACTGAGCACCCGTGCATGTCACATACTGAGCCCGACAGATCAATAAGGCATAGGCTGCGGCCGCAGGAGCTTTGTCTGTAGGGGAGGAACTGTGTACACGTGTGCTCCACATGGGTGTGCAGGCGTGGAGGAACCGTTCCTACAGAAGATGAACCCGTATGGTATTCCAGTGTCTGGATGAGGACACTGTATTCTGAATCAGCCCATAAAAGTTGTCCTTCCTGATAAGTTAAAGTTCAGAATCAGCCACAAGGCATTTTAAGTCATGTTTCTGATGTTTCAGAGACACAAGATGTATTGGTTCAGTTATAACAAAGTACGATTGAGTGGTTCAAACTGCAGAAATTTATTTCCTCACCATTCTGGAGGCTGGAAGTTCAAGATCAAGGTGTTGGCAGGTTTGGTTTCTTCTGAGGCCTCTCTCCTTGGCTTGCAGATGACCGCCCTCTTGCTGTGTCCTCACCTGGTCATCCCTCTGTGTGTGTCTATGTCTCAATCTCCTCTTCTTATAAGGACGCCAGCCATATCAGATCAGGGCCACCCTAACGACCTCATTTCAACTTAATCACCTCTTTAAAGACTCTATCTCCAGATACAGTCCCATTCTGAGGTCCTGGGGTTAGGACGTCAACATATGAATTTCAGGGATGGGAGGAGGCACAATTCAGCCCATAACAGGAGGTCTGAATCCACGCTGATCTTAGAGACCTAGAAGGAATCTTTTTTAGAACTGAGAAAGACAGACCCTACAGCAAGAGCACTGTTTCATTCATTTTGCTGTTTTCTGACTATAAAAAGCAAAAGTAGATGTCACAGAAATTTTGGAAAGTAGAGAATAACAGACAGAACTAAGAAAAAGTTCACCAACGTCTCACCAAAGGAGGTGACCACCTCACCATTTTGACACATTGTTCCATCACTTCAGACACACACACACACACACAATATGTGTGGGACTATGCTGTACACAACTTGTAGCCTACTTTTTAAAATTTTTTACAGTCACTCATGAGCATTTCCCATGACATTGAAAACTCTGTGAACAAGGTCTGAATGACTCTGGAATCTTCGCCCATGTAGATGTGCCGAGATTCACGGCACCCCTCCCCTAATTCATATTTACACAGTTTCCAATTTAATAGCGTTACGGCTAACTCTGGGATGAGCTTCTCTGAAATCCTTCTTTGTCTCCAGCACTTGCCAGATTTCAGCATGGCTTCTCCCTAAAGCTCTCTGCTTCCCCCAGGAAAATGGACTGGACTATGAAGCCTGCCTGGTGGCTCAGTGTGACGCGCTGGTCGATGCTCTAACGCGGCAGAAAGCCAAGCTGCTCACCAAGGTTACTAAAGAGAGGGAGCACAAGTTGAAGGTAGGTACCCGCAGGACTGACGCCCTCAGTCCCCATCACAGCCTCCACACCCAGCACACAGAGGAGCACACAGTAGGCAGTGGGTCAGTATTAGTTCAGTGAATGAATGAATGAAAGAGCGAATGCGGCAAAGAAGGGATGGGCAAGCTGCTTTGGGCCTACTTACACTCAACACCCATGCTCTCCCTCCAAAGCTGGAGTCAGATGCTCTGAATTCTGCTATTTTCAAGTCAGAAGTCCTCCCTCCCCCATCTTCTCTAAGTTCCTGTTGTCTGTCTGAGGGACTCCTCCTGTCCTCATTTTTCAGAGCAGAAGTGACCAGTGATGGTGACAAGGCCTTGCTCTCTGAGGTCTCCAGCTCTGTCTGCTCCTTCAGGCTCTCTCTGATGTCTTGTGCACTCAATAGTCAGCAATAATGATGTGACCAATTTCCACCATGGGCAGGGGGGTTTCCCTCACATGACACTGGGCTCGTAGTCCAGACAGGGAACCCTGCATTGACAAAGGACTGCTTCATTGTCCAGGGCACTCAATCTATTTTATAGACATTTCCCAACGAGTCGAAAAATATTACTATCAAGGAAAGAAGGAATGAGTGTGTGTGGGGGGGGGGGGTGGTCCATGGTTTACAAGCAAAGCACCTGAGTCCATCGAGTTATCCACAACCAGCCAACCAGTAAGAAGGGAGACAGAAGTTGGTCATTGGTCATATGGAGAGTTTCAGATTACGCACTTTCTCTGCTTTACTATCCAGAGTCGAGGAAGTTTGCTCTGTTGGTGTCGTGGCCCTGCTTGTTGGGAAGTGGGTCCATTTTATTCCCCAGTAAGGAGGGCACATGGAACTCAGGAGCAGAGCAGTGAGAGGAGAGGGTGCCAAGTGGTCCACACAATGCTGCCTCTTCCAGGGCTTTCTCTGTGCTGTTTCTCTGACCCTCGCTGCCTCCTGGCTGCTCTTCTCTGACAATGAGGTGATTACTAGGGATTCTTTTCATCACAGATGGTTTGGGACCAGATCAATCACTGCACGTTGAAGCTGCGCCAGTCAACAGGGCTGATGGAGTACTGCCTGGAGGTGATCAAGGAGAACGACCCCTCCGGGTTCCTACAGGTGAGCCCACTCCCAGAGGCCTCTAGGCAGGCTCGGCTTCCTTCCTTCAACTCCACTGCCACTCCCCAAGCTAGCCGAAGTTTTAGGAAGGTCCTTTCCAGTAGCTTGGAGTCGAGTAGATTCTCCTTTGCTCAGTGACTCCAGAAGACCTAGGTTCTCATCTTGACTCTGCCTCTCACTAGCTGTGAACCTGGCTCTGTGTCATCGTTAAACAAGGAGGTCAGACGTCATACTCTCTAGGACCAAAATGCCACGTATTTATGCTTTGACTTCTGGAGGCCCCAATTCAACATTTCCCCCACAAGTGGGAAAGGATAATCTTTGCCAAATAAGCTGGAAAGATCACCCCGGAAGAAGTGAGTTAGCAGAATCCACATGGCCCATTAGCTCCATGTGCAGAGTCCTGTGGGCCTAGACAAAGGATCACTGCCTGCAGAGCCAGTGAAGCCTTGCTGGGTGCCCCTCCAGCAGCCAGGCGGACGCGGGGTCACGAGCATCTCTCAGGAACACGGCAGTGATACAGACGGGAGCTCAGTCCTCCACGTGTGGGGAAATGATGAGTCTCCTTGATTAGTCCCAAAAAAGGGTAGATGGGATCATGGCTCTACAGAGACACATGTAAATGTCCGAACGAGCAGGCCTTTCCAGCAAAGGAGAGCAGAGCTGTGGGGGTGACACAGTGAGAGTTTGGAGCAGAAGCTTGAACAGCCTGGAGGACACACACCAGGGGGAGGGAGCTTCAGAATTCTGGGGCTACAGGGAATGCCTTCTTCAGCCCCTGGACAAGCCACTAGTATGTTTCACTTTGCAAAGTAGATCCAGCGAAAGAGGTATAATGAATGAAGAATGATTTTGTCTATTTTATAAAGTATCATTTGCTTCACAAACAGGATTAGTCTAATTTCTTTCAATAGCAAATGCTTCTTTCCATTTCACATGATGCACTATTAAAATAGGATTTAAACAGTAGAACGCATTGCTACCTGCCCAGGGTCATACTGGCGGAGGTCGTTGCATGTCCTCTGCGTCACAGCCTCTCCCTGTCCCTGAGCCCACAGAGATGAAGACCCTACCCATTCCTCCCCACTGGCAGTGCGCTTTTTCCTTTGCAAATCGAAACCCTAAACTCTGTGCTCCCTTTAAGATCTCGGATGCCCTGATCAAGCGTGTCCAGGTGTCTCAGGAGCAGTGGGTCAAAGGCGCCCTGGAGCCCAAAGTGTCTGCAGAGTTTGAGCTGACGTTGGACAGCGAGCCGCTGCTGCAGGCCATCCACCAGCTGGACTTCATTCAGATGAAATGTAGGGGTGAGCCGCGGTTGGCCCAGTTCAGTCAGGGCTGCTTCTTCTCAGAGTGCAAGAGGCATCCACTCTGAGGGGGCAGCTTAGTGCCGTTGGGAGACTTGTGATACTTGGCGTGAGGCAGAGCGGGAGGGGAGGGATGCTGAAGTCACAGACCTGGGTTCAAGTCCCAGCTCAGCCACCCACTAGCTGGGTGACCTAGGGCGGGTAGCACCCCAGTCTGAGCCCGTCTTCCCATTTGTAAAAGAGGATCATTTGTTCATTCAGAGACACTGATTGAGTGTCAGCCACGTGCCAGGCAATATTCTAGGTGCTCAGGACACAGGCGTAAACAAGTCTACAAACTCCCTCACGAGATTGAGTTGATATTTTAGAGAGGCAAATAGACAACACATCAACAAATCTATAACATGATGTCTGACAGTGGCAGGTGCTATAAGAAGGTGCTTTTCGGGAAAGGGGCAGTGGTGGATGCACGAGGGGTATTTCGAGGTGAGGAGGAGGACAGAGATGCAATATAGGGGAAGAACATTCCAGGTGGCAGAGGGATGGCAAGTGCAAAGGCCCTGAGGCCGGAATAAGTTTTCTGTGCTTCAAGAAGGTCAGAGGTGAGAGCAGAATGAACAAGGTGGAGGATAGTAGGAGATGAGTTCTGAGAGCCATGGGTGTCACAGGCTGAGGGTTAAGTAAAGTTTGCATAAGTTGTCCTAAAATTGCAAGTGACAGCCAGAAATCAGAGTCTCGTTCTAAACGCTGCCTCTCCAGAGACATCAGGGGTACATTCAGGAGAGCCAACAAAGCTATTTGGGTTTTTTTAACCAAAATATCAAAGGACTCAGTGCCACACCTACAGAATCTGTGAACTCAGGAAATCCTTACCTGCAAAATATGTAGCCATTTTTAAACCAAAGAAAAGACAAGTCTCTTGCACACCTCTGTGCTCACTCCCACCCTCAGTTTGCACCTTGGGGGTTAAGAGTCAGGGGTGGTTTAGAAATGCCACCCACCCTAGGAGTAATGCGAGGAGGTGCTGAGGGGCAGTAGGAACTCTGTGCTGTGGGGGTGGGAGAGGGTGGAAGTGAGGGGTGGCTCTAGAAAGCGGGGTGTGGAAGGAGGAGGCTCCAGACGGGGTCGGGTAGTGGAATTCACAGAGGAAGCAGGAGCCTGAACAGCAGAGCCCAGAGACGAAGAGAGGACTCCTACACACTAGTAAACTGAGGCCCCCCGGACTCAGGCTCCACCCAGCCAGCCCTGAGACCAAGTCTGTAATCAAGACTGGGGTTGCACTCAACTAAACCATCAGCTGAAACCTGAAGACGGTGCCCCAATTTTTGGAGCTAAACTGAAATCTGTAGTTTTTACAAAACTGATGTTGCAATTTTCCCTTTAAAAAATGTCAGTGTGGGGGCCGGCCCGGTGGCGCAGCGGTTAAGTTCGCACGTTCCGCTTCTCGGCGGCCCGGGGTTCGCTGGTTCGGATCCCGGGTGCGGACATGGCACTGATTGGCAGCCATGCTGTGGTAGGCGACCCACGTATAAACTAGAGGAAGATGGGCACGGATGTTAGCTCAGAGCCAGGCTTCCTCAGCAAAAAGAGGAGGACTGGCAGTAGTTAGCTGAGAGCTAATCTTCCTCCAAAAAAAAAAAAACAAAAACAAACAAACAAACAAAAAATGTCAGTGTGGACTATATTTCTTTCTAAAATCTCTTGAACCTGAACACAACTAGAAAATAAAAACATTCTCCCAATCTCACTTTAATAGAACTTACGATACATTTGATTCAAATCCCTAATTCCATGGGTTGAGTCTCTGAAACCCTAAGCTTGCCTGTCCTTTCTGAAAGTAGTTCCCTGGGCCTTTAAAATGCTCCCAGGCAAAGGTTTAAATGTGCCTTTGTATTTTGCACACACACCCTCTCCCCCCAGCACCATTCCAGGCCCAGGGTGAGCTGCAGGCTGGCCCGGCAGAGGGGGTCCGTATAGGCCTGTGCTGTGGCTAGGAGGCACATCCAATGTGGCTCTGTCAGATGCTTATGAGTTAAACAGACCTGAGAGTCAAAACCAGAGGTTCTCAGTGGGCGTGAGGAGGAGGACAGCCCTTCTTTCGGGGTACAGACTCAGAGGAGTGAGGCGTCCGCCATGCCTCTCGCACCCCAGACTCCAGGACATCCTCTGGGGTGAGAAGTACACTGTCACCTCCCCTCACTTGCCTCCGCTGCAGCCTGCCTGTAGACCGAGACTCCCAGGGCTGAGGTGAGCATAGGCGAGGCTCAGAGAGACCCCAGGGTGGCCAGTGAGAGAATTCAGCCCCCTTTCTTTCTGGGGGTCAGGGGCCCCAGAGATGGGGGAGGGGTCCAGGGGTGTGCCAGTGCCCTGTGGAGGTGTTGTGCACTGAACCCCGCCGGTCCCTGTCACAGTGCCGCCCGTCCCCCTACTGCAGCTGGAGAAGTGCTGCACCCGCAACAACAGTGTCACGCTGGCCTGGAGGATGCCACCCTTCACCCACAGCCCCGTGGACGGCTACATCCTGGAGCTGGACGACGGCGACGGGGGGCAGTTCCGGGTGAGGCCCTGCTGCTTGTTTTGGGGGGGTCCTAAAGCGGAGGCCAGGAGTGGCTCAAACCACCCCAGGCTTTGGACTAGGCCACGGGGCTACCCTTTGCTCTGATGCCACGAGAGAGGGCATCAGCCCCAAGGACAGAGGGCTGGTGGGTCGGGGCTCGCAGCAGATGGGCTGTCTCTACCAAGGGCTCATCCTGGGCGGGCCCAGCAGGCAGAGATGGGGGCCGCAGAGAAAACTGGAGATGCCTTTTCCTTGAAGACTGACAGAGGTCTGAGGCTGAGTTAGAGCTCAGAAAAGGTGTCAGCAGCACGTACTTGCTACCCCACTAATCGGATCATCTCTATTCTTCAAGATCCTCCCACGTATCCCCCCTCACGCAGCTGCCCGGTCCCTCAATGTTCTATCACACCTTGCCTTGCCTGGTTCACTAATTATTTTACCTGGCAAGCTGCTCCACATGTGGGAGACACTTGATAAATGGTTGTTGGGATGTGATGACCTTCTATATTCACGTCCCCAAGGATGAAATATCATGGGGACAATAAAGGCTCTGGGGGGGCCAGAAATGCCTCTTCCACTTCCCCATCTGGTAGAAACCCTGAGAGAGCCCCCCACCCCAACACAGACCCCCTGATAGATCTCTACCCTGAGATTTCACCCAGTGAAGTTCAGGCTACTCTCAAGTTGTTTTGTCGACATGACACCAGGGAGCACAAACTCTGGGTCTTCTTCAAGCTCCTCCTTTCCAACCCCGAGAAGAATAAAGAAAGATGCATTCTAACAAACCACTGCAGTCCTAACAATTCTGCTATTTCTTCTCCTGGGGAATTGCACCCATTTGACAGATCTTGCCCAAGGGCAATATTCCTTTTTTTAATCTCAAAGGGATTTATGCAGATGTCATTTCATTTTTTTGTTTGAAAGAATACCCTACATGATGTAAAGAGTTGGGGAAATAACTGCACACTCTCTTGGGAATTTCTGAGTCCCTTGTGAATATGGGTAATTTAGGGAAGCGAGAAGATGAGGTAGCTTTAGGCAGGAATGGCGGATCACTCACTGGGTCAGAAGCTCAGTCATTCCGGTTGTGCACATGTGCCAGGAACTGAAAGAGCTCCTTGACCGGAAAGTAGGAAGAGAGCCCGTGTTTTTGAAACAAGAAGAAAGAGAAGACTGTTTTGAGATATTAAAGGAAGCAGCCATGAAGCTCAGATAAAGATGGCCTCTCCCCTTTTAGACAGGGCACTCACAAGAGCCAGATCCAAGGGCTAGAATTTATGAGGAACAGCGTGTTATGGTGGGAAAAGCATTGGCTTTGAATCCAGACAGACCTGATTCAAACCCAGGCTTCTCACCGGATTAACTGTGATCTTTGGCAAATTTCCTGCCGTCTCCGAGTCTCCTTGTGTGTAAAATACGAAAAATAATAGCAATGTCCCAGCGTCGTGTGAGGATTAAAATGCCATATACACCGCCTAATAACTCGGAATGACAAATGAAGAGTAACCCCCCTCAACAACCAAGCAGGAAACGTGTTTTAGACAAGCTCAGCAGAATACAATGACACAGGAGAGGTAAGGCTACGCATCCAAGGGAGTTAATAGGACAAGGGTAGGTGTGAAGTGAATGGGGAAGGAAGTAAATCGCTAGTCAAGGATCTTTGGGGTCCCATGCAGAAACATCTCACCCTCCCAGGAGGCCAGGAAAAAACAACTACAGGGGGGCCAAGGAATGGAAGATGCCAGCCTCAGAGAGGGAGAAGATGGGGAGGGGGTGGAGCACCCTTCTTGTCCAGAAGTGGTTTCAGCTCAAGTCAACTTGAATCCCCTGTGCTTGGCCACGCCCTTCCTGTCTACTTTTTCCCATCAAGTATGATGACCCTTCTTTTAAGACTATTGGTTATTTTTTTAACTTGAGATGCTTAGCTCACGTTTTCTAACTTAAATTCCCATTAGAAACCAACAATCTTCTATTGCTCCACCCGAGAAGGAACTGGGGTTTTCTGGAAGGGTTGGGGTCCCTGCGGTCCAGGGTCCCATCTGACGGGACTGACCTCAGCAGACACAGGACTCTCTCAAGCAGCATCCGAGCTGGCTGCAGACCTGTGGTCCCTCCCTCCTTCCCTGGGACCGCATCACATCCCACAGCCTCGCAGACAGAGAGGCCAGTCAGCCAGCAGCGAGGGTTCCTGCCCACCCTGGACATGGTCTGTGACCCTGCCGCCCCACATCCCAGTAGTCCTTATTCAATAACTCTATTGGGGTGACAGTGCTTTTAATGTCTACGTGTTGCCCAGGAACCATTTGCTCAGAGAAATTTTCCAGATAACAGAGGCCTCTAGTGAGCAGTCTTGGCTCTCTTTTAGGAAGTGTACGTCGGCAAGGAGACCCTGTGCACCATCGACGGTCTTCATTTCAACAGCACCTACAATGCCAGAGTCAAGGCTTTCAACTCCTCTGGCGTCGGGCCCTATAGTAAAACCGTCGTCCTGCAGACATCCGACGGTGAGCACGGGGTCTCTCGGGGGCAGAAACAGACTCAGGATGTGGATGAGCTTCTAAAGGAGAAAAATGGGGCCTTAAGCCCAACCCACATTTCACCCCTTGGATGGAAAAAAAGTATCAGCTGCTTAAGAATGAGGAGTGAGGGGGTGGAGGAATTGACCCTGGCAGTCAGGAAATAGACCTCCCACCGGCCCCGCCCCTGCTCTACCGGCACACAGCTCCTTGCCTGCACCTCCGTCCCCACAAGCCATCAAAGAAAGAGACATTCCCTCGCCCCATTTGCTGGACCTGCGAAAGGAGACTAGGAATTGAGAGGTTCTGGGAGACTGAAGTCCCACTTCCGAGGGGCTGAGAGTGGGTAGGACGGCCCCAGAGAAGAGAAGGCTGTGCAGTGGCCAGGGAGGCATACGCTGGCCCCAGGTTGGAGCCTTGCTCACAGCTGGAACCTATCTCTCGAATACCCAGTGCAAGAGCTCAGATCTGGTGGTTTACATACCTAACTGCGTCCCTTCAGGCTTCGGGCAACAACAGCACATCAGTAGTCCATTGGATGTGATCATCTGATGGGGAACGATGATGCAAATGAAGAACGCGTTCCAAAGAGATTTGGCCCTGCTGAACCGGGCACATTCCAGCCCCGGCTGCAGGGCTTCCAGGATGGTGCCAGTCCTATGTCTACTGTCATCATTTATCCCAGCACCTCCTCTGGTTGCCCTGAGAAAAACATGGCATGCCTGGATCGTCTCCCAAGGACAGGGAGGAGAGAGGACAGGAGCAGACGCTTTTGTCAAGGGCACAGCTGGGGATGTTTTCCTGAAAACGGTGCAGCCTGCAGAGTCATTTTACAAACTGCGAGGAGTTCACTGGCTTTTTGCCCCTAGGAGCCCTCCTGCCAGAGACAGGCAGTTCTTGCCCTGTGCACTGTGGTCATAATGTTAGAATAAAGACCTCACTTCCCACAACCTGAGGGCTTGGGGGAGCAGGAGGGGGCACCATCCAGTGGGCTGTGGAAGGGGAGAATGGAGCTTTGTGACTCCGGGTGCATCTCTTCACTTCTCTGGGTCTCAAATCTCCCACCTACGAGGTGGGGCATGGAGACCTCCTTCCTCTTTCACTCATCACAGTGTGTGCAGCGCGTGGTAGGGTGTTAGAAACCAAGACACCAGGAGATGCATTTAGATTTGGGGCTTTGAGGGCTGAATGTCTGTGTCCCTCAGCAAGGTTGGGTTCATGGGGTTGGGAACTTGGATGAACACAGATAAGGAAATGTGCATGTGCACGTGCATGTGTGCGTGTGTACGTGTGAATCATACAGGGAAGAGCATTTGGTGATGGGTTTCAACTTTCTGACAGATGCCAGGGAGTCTGTGTCTCTGAGCCTGGGTTAGAGACTGCTAGCAAATTCTATCCCCTGACCCAGCTCTTCTTGCCTCCTGCCTCCAGTGGCCTGGTTCACATTTGACCCCAACTCTGGCCACCGGGACATCATTTTATCCAATGACAACCAGACGGCCACCTGCAGCAGCTATGACGACCGGGTGGTGCTGGGCACAGCCGCATTCTCCAAGGGCGTGCACTACTGGGAGCTGCATGTAGACCGGTACGACAACCACCCAGACCCCGCCTTCGGGGTGGCCAGGGCCAGCGTGGTCAAGGACATGATGCTGGGCAAGGACGACAAGGCCTGGGCCATGTATGTGGACAACAATCGCAGCTGGTTCATGCACTGCAACTCCCATACCAACAGGTACGCTGCAGGCCCCCGCCCTCCTCTCCTCGGACGTGGGGTGTTTGGGAATGAGGGTCCTGTGGGACCAGTGTCCCTTCTGCTGTTCCCAAATTCAGGCATCAGGAATGTGGGGGAGGTGTTTTCAGCCACTTTGGCGTCCAGTTGCCAGGTAGAAGTGACCGTTTGCCTGCAGCCAAATGAGAGCATGCAGCAGAGACAGGAACAGAACCAGTGCACACAGGGTTCCAGGTGATTCGGCTGCACGACAAGATTCCCCCGGGCTCCGCAACTTGGGTTCTCTTCCCAGTTCTGCTCTGCTTTCCTTCACACACTAGCAGCCTGAGCTTGAATCACTGCAAAGCCCGTACCCTCATGGCTGAGACCAGGTCTCTACAGAGGGAGCAAGTGCCATTGCCATGGCTGGTCATTTAGCTGGAGTGACCCCTCCCGCTGCCCAGCCTTGCGTGGGCTTTGAGCCCAGGCAGCGCCCTCCAACAGGGGTGGCCTGAGAGCGGCAGGCACTGTTGGGGTACTCACTGATGATGGCTCTGTCAAGGGCATGCCCAGCGCTGCTTCATCCCCGGGGCTGGCCCTGGGAGTGGTGTTACCAGGGCAGACACAGGAAACTCAGGTCCTGGGAAAGATGGGCCCTCTGGGGCTGCCCTGGGAAGATGCCCCTGATGCCTGGGCCACCCCAGGGACTTGTGGGTGCCTTGGTCTCTCTCCTCAGACACGGAGGAGGCAGTGGGCCCTCCCACCATCCCGTCATAGCTCAGTGCTCTCTTCTTCCTCCCCCCAGGGATTCTGTGCTCCCTTCCTATGTGTAGGAAATGGTGGGGATGGAAAATCCTTGAGACCAGCGTTGGCCAAGGAACCCAGAAATGCAGAGTTGTGGCCACCTGGAGCCACCTCCCCACAGTGGGGTCTCCTTCCTGGTCTGCTAAGGATCCTCTCCCCACCAGGAGAGGCAAGGAGCCTTAAGGAGCCTGCCTCACTAGGCTCCAGCTCCAGCAGAGTCAGCCCTGGAGGCTCTCAGTGCTCCGGGTGCATGCAGTTCCTGCGAATGGCCCAGGTCCTGGTGTCGGGCAGGGACTTGCCTGAGGATCCCCGGGGGAACAGGAAGCAGACTCGACCCCTCCCTCCTGCCTTTTCCCTGACAGTGACCCCTATCTCCGGAGGCCTGGAAGAGGCAGCTCTGTCCCTCTGCACCCTCTGCCTGGGCCCTACAGGCTATCTGGGCCCTATATGCTGCCCAAGCCCTGTATGCTGCCCAGGCCCTATACGCTGCCCAGGCCCTATGTGCTGCCCAGGCCCTATGTGCTGCCCAGGCCCTGCAGGCTGCCCAGGTCCTATATGCTGCCCAGGCCCTATATGTTGCCCAGGTCCTATATGTTGCCCAGGTCCTATATGCTGCCCAGGCTCTGCTCCCTGCTTACAAACCACAAAGGCACTGAGTCCAGGCCCACCAGCTCCATCTCTGTTTGCTTAAGCCAAACCGACACTCTGTCTGCCGGTGGGAGTAATAACTGGGGGCATTTATTGAGCACTTACTTTGTGCCTGAGGCTATAGGAAGCACCCGACTAATACGATCTCATTTAGTCCTCACAAAAGTACCATTGTTATCGCCATTTTACAGATTACAATTGTGACTGGGGAGTAGAAAGGCTAAACAGTGGCCCGAGTCACAGGGCTAGTTAGTGGTGCTGTCAGGGTGTAACTCAGGACCCCGGTTCCTGCTTTGTGTGTGTGGTGGGGAGCCTGGTGGTGAGGTGCAGAGGGGAGCACGGGGCCTCAGGGCGGCGCCACCAGCCGTGACCTCCACCGCAGGATGCTCTTGGGTGGGAATCAAACTTCTGCGCCTCAGATTGGTCGCTCCCGCCACCCTGTGGTCACTGTCTGAATAGCACCAAGGCCGCGGTTCCAGTTCCCTCCTCCCACCTGAATGCAAACACACCGTCTGGGAAAAACACCCTCCAAGTCAGCCCACCGGGCCCTCCTCACGACTTTCCCGTGCGCTCTGCCACACCATCGGCCCCCAGCTCAGTCCCAATGGGGAAAGGACAAAAATGGTCTTCTTTTTTTTTTTTTTTTTTTTAAGATTTTATTTTTTCCTTTTTCTCCCCAAAGCCCCCCGGTACATAGTTGTGTATTCTTCGTTGTGGGTCCTTCTAGTTGCGGCATGTGAGACGCTGCCTCAGCGTGGTCTGATGAGCAGTGCCATGTCCGCGCCCAGGATTCGAACCAACGAAACACTGGGCCGCCTGCAGCGGAGCGCGCAAACTTAACCACTCGGCCACGGGGCCAGCCCCCAAAAATGGTCTTCTTATCAGAGCAGAGCAGCTCTTAAGACCTCAACCCTCCACTAAGGGAAGGGAGAGTCTAATGGACTCTGCCCACCAGGAGCGGGCAGGTCAGCCAGGGCCGTGGGAGAGAACTGCTCACTTAAAGATTCTTCCGCGCCCAGTGGATATGCCGTCCCACCGCCACAAAATGCGGTTTCACTGACGTTTATCAAGAGGTCCCCGATATACCGTCTCAAGGATCCACTGTTGGTTGCCCGTGGGCTGGTGACTCAGGCAGGGGACCCGATTCCGGATTCAGCACCCATCCCCTGCCCTGCGCTGCCTTTCAAGAGTCCCTGGGATGTTTCTAGAAGGATGAGCTGAAGCAGGGTTGGGCCTCTTAAAGTCTCCTGGTGGCCTGGATGTCTGCCCCTCCATCCATCTCAACATCCTCACCTGGTCCACGCTGTACAGGGCACCAAGGTGGTGCCCTTCCTTGGCAGGTAAAGGAGCCTTCCTTACCCATGCTCCATGCTCCATGTTTGCAAGAGGGACCGCTCATCAAAACCCTAACTCCCTGGGTGTCCAGGTCTCAGACACTCTCAGGAAACAAGGAACGGAATAACCTGGTTCCCCTAGGGTGAGAAACCTTATGCGAAGGGTAAGGTCTTCCTGTGTGGCCCCTTAACAGGTGAGTGCACTTCAGGAGAAGGCTTGTAAGCCCAGAAGAATAGCTTCCTGCACCAGCATGGCGGCTGTGTTTTTCGGGTGAGGTCATTCCCAGCATCCTGTAAGTGATGCTCCTGAGCCGTCACCTATGTCCCAGGCAAGATGTGGTGATGGGGCTTCCTGGGGTTTCTCTTCCCAGGACGGAGGGTGGTGTGTGCAAGGGGGCCACTGTCGGCGTGCTGCTGGACCTGAACAAGCACACTCTGACCTTCTTCATCAACGGGCAGCAGCAGGGCCCCACAGCCTTCAGCCACGTGGATGGGGTCTTCATGCCAGCCCTCAGCCTCAACCGCAACGTGCAGGTACTATGCATCCCTCTGGGCCAGATCCCCTCTGGCTGCTCCCCACTGCTGCCCAGGGGCCTCCGAAGTGCACTTGGGCAAAGTGGCCTATAAAAAAAGCTGCCCACATAGGCCAGCCCCAGTGTCCTAGTGGTTAAGTTCAGCGTGCTCCACTTCGTCAGCCCAGGTTCAGTTTTCAGATGCAGACCTATACCACTTAAATTGGCAGCCACACTGTGCTGGCAGCCCACATACTAAAAAACAGAGGAAGATTGGCACAGATATTAGCTCAGGGCTAATCTTCCTCAGCAAAAAAAAAAAAAAAAAAGAGAGAGAGAGAGAAAAGAAGCCACCCGCAATGCCCGCCCAGGCAGAGAGCTTACCTACTGGCCCACCTGGGGCACTCCCTGTAGACAGTCTTCTCTGGCATGATCAATTCTTCCGTGTTCACTTGAAGCAAGCAGAGGCTCTAAGGCAGCAGCTTGTGGAGGAGCAGTGGAAGGGAGGGGGGAAGAGGATGGAGTGGGGAAGCAAGTAGTGATTCCATTTTCTGGGGAAGCTGCAATAGAGGCATTAAGCAATCAGAGGGAAAGTCAGTGCCCCCCTGCCCAGCTGGGACCCTGCTGGCCAGGTGGATGCTGGGGCCCTCAGGTGGGGGCAGGTCAAGGCTTCACGTGGCTTTCCCCTGAGAGGGGAAGTAACAAAAGAGAGTTGGGGAGAGACCAATCCTACAGTGCCGTGGGCCTTCTCTTGTTCCCGCTCATCCCTCTCTGGCTCCCACAAGAAGCAGGACACTTGTTCTTTTAGATGTCAGAGCTGGGCCCAGTCCTAGGGGAGTGCTGATGGCCCTGGAGGCCCCCAATGGGCAGAGACAAAATGGGAACCCAGTGAGAGTATGAGGGACGGAGAGAAGTGTGGAGGCTCCATCCTCTGTTTCTAGCAGAGTCCTCCTTCCCCTGGGGAGTGTGGGGTTGGGGGAGGCAGTCCTGCTTTGTGGTGCCCATTGGCTCCGAATATTGATGGACCTACATCGATCAATTATCGATCGACTTGAACCTCCACTCATTTGCAAAAAGGGTCTGAAACAGCCTGAAATATGCGCTGTTATTCCATTGGGTTAACAGAACAAATGTAGGAAAGGAAAGAGTGCCATGGAGAGAAAGCAGAAACAAATATACAACCATGAGAGCCGGTACGCCTTCTGCAACAGAGCATCGGCCTTGCCTGGGTTCCTGGCTGCTGGGGCACAGTGGGAACCCCAGGCAGCTGTGTGGTTCTCACTATGAGGAAAGAGGTGCAGACCAGCTCCTTGAGGCACACTCGTGGACCTCACATTCATGATATTAAGCGGCATGATAAATAGCAGAACCCACAATACGGAGAAGCTGTCGCTCAGGCTGCTGCCTGTGGCAACCCCCCTCCCCGCCCCAAGCAAGCAGAGGGCCTGACTTGTGGCTGCTTGGCTGGCTGAGTGCTCAGGATTCATGGGTGGCCTCACCCACCCTCGCTTATCCTCTTCTTTTCCAGGTCACCCTGCACACAGGATTGGAGGTGCCGACAAACCTGGGGCGGCCAAAGCTGTCAGGCAACTAGCCCCCCAGCTCCAGCTCCCCATGGGCATCTAGGAAAAGCCCTGCCATCCCTCGCGGTCAGATAACACACGAGGGCAGGACAACCACGTCTTGGGTGCAACCCAGCAGCCACTGAGTATCTTAGAGACACGTTTTGTGGGGGATGGAGAATGGGTCTGCAGGCCACGCTCATGGGGCCACTGTCAGTGGGAAAAAAGATGTGTGTTTCCCCTTCATTCCACTTGGATGTTACAAATACTCACAAAGGAGGACCTTTCTCAAGGGAGTGAGAAAGCATTCGGGGTTTGGTTGTTTCCTGCCATCTGTTTTCAAAGCTTTCTTTTTTAGGGGACGAAAGGAGGGCAGACTTTGAGACTAGCTTCCTAAGAGCAAGAGGCAGGGAGACACAGGAATCCCACATCCTCAGTGTCAGCCCTTTCCTGGGACGCCGCTCCTTCAGAGGACCAAGGTTGCAGGATCCCATCTTTGCCAGAAAAATTATCCTTTAGCTTTTTGGTCCTGGAATCTTCGGTATGTTATGCTACTTGTGGAGTTAATCCAGGATCAATGGAAAGGGGCATTAATCATTAATCTTGATCTTTGCCCCTCTCTTGAACTGTTGAGAAGCTTTTAAAATGGTTTTCTTAGGTCCTTCATTAATCACCAGTCTCTCTCTCTCACACACACGGATGCATGCGCACACACACACACATACATGACAGTTTGCTCAGATTCATTCTCTCAGTTCTTAGTTCCTAAACACAAAAGAAAACACTGAAATTTGAATGACTCTGTGACGCCTGTCCACCTGGTGGTGGCTTTGTTCTGGAACTGGCTCCCCAAGAGGTTAAGTCCAAACCTGTCTGAGTCACTCTTCTGAGCTGTCCACTCTCAGCCTCCTAAGCCTGTAGGATGAGAGACGCTGGGGAAGCCTCTTTTACTCAATCCACCTTTGCTTGGAGACCCATCTTACTGTCATCATGAAAGCATCATGAAAGCAAGAAGTGGCCCCCGATGGCAGGGGTGGTTCTGCCATGACAGGGCCGGCAGGACCTCTGAAGAAGGCAGGAAATATAGCAATATCGTGTTCCTCGTCTCCCAGCTTCCGAGCATGAGCCTGGGTATGCTGAGTCCCAATGGCCAGGGCGGGGCTCTGGGGCTGAGCCCTCCCCTCCTTGCTAGGAACACTAACTTTCTCCCTCAAGACCCATGGAGTCATTTCCATCTCTCGGAAGGAGCCTGAACCCAGAGCACTTTCCCCTGCTCCTCCCTCTCTTCTTCCTTGTCACCTGCCACCTCCATCTCGTAGTCAACCTTTCTCTCTCCTTTTTAAAAGAATATATGTTATCAAGCTTTTTATTTTTGAGCTTGAGGAGTAACTTGTCTATTTGCTGGATTGGATTTTTATACACCTTAGCCTGTAAACCGGCACCAACTGTGTTGACTCGGTTCTCCCTGCTTGTTTAGACACCGCACTTGGCTTCCGAGTTACCCGGGCCAATGCTGTGCACATCCTACCCTCTATTCAGCAGATCCGACAACCCTACCTCAAAGCCCACGATCTCGGACTGCGAGGCTGCCTGTCCGGCCGTGTCCACCAGTGTGGTCGGCAAGGCCAGCTGCCCGGGGTCCTCAGGAGCTGCTTGGTGCTGTGTTTAAGCCTCTGCTGCCAAGGTCCCGGCAACCATCTTCTTAGGGGAAGTCAGGTCATGCCTCTTCCTTCTTGTCCTGCCAAGTGGTATCTAGGGAACATGGAGGTGCTTCGGCCAGAGCCGGCTGGGTGATGCATACAACCTGGGCTGCCCGAGGCTGCCGCATGTCCTTGTGTGTGCAGCTGCCTCTCTCCTGTGCTTCCAGTTTCCTTCAGTTTCCCTCCTTAGCCATAGCTCTGGGTGGACTCAGCTTGGAGGGTGGGGAAGACTCCTAAAGGTTGGAGGGCACAGAAGAACCATGGCCTTCCTGGGGTGGAGGAAGCCATGGCCGGCGGGTCCAGATGCCTCAGCTTTGGGAAATGAGAGTGAGAGAGTGGAGCGAGCATGTGGCTGGGACGGCGGGCTAGGCAGGACCACCTGGCCAAAGTGGCTTTTCACAGTGGAGTCTGGATGAAAGGCTGGGGAGGTCCCAGAATCATTGAAACTGGGGTCACTAGGTGGCCCGGCTCTGCGTCGTTGGAGAGTAGATGCTCAAGATCAGCCTGGATTTGGGGATACCCTTGGGAAAGCCAGCACCGAGGTCAGAGGGAGATATGGAAAAGGGAGAAGGGGAATTCCCACAATTTCAGGTGGCCTCATTAGGAAGAAAATTACCCAAAGTTCAGAGAGAAGCCACCAGGACCTCCACCCCACCTGCCACAGTCAGCAGTCTCAGGAGGTCCAGCAGGCGCCATTCTACCTTTTCCGACTCCTCCAGGAGCCCAGAAGCAATACAGCTGATATCAGGGACTGTGTCAGGCTGTCCTACAGCCACCTCTCTTGTCCTCAGCACAAAACACCTTTCAGGGACAAGAATGGACCTAAGAGAGAAGGCAGGTCCGTGCCACACACTTGTGTTTTTGGAGGATCAGCAAAACGAAGAGAGAACTCATCAATAATTCATGGCCTTATGTCAGCATCCCAGGAAGCCCCTGGAATTCAGAGTGGAAGCGACGGGTCGTGGGCTTCTCATCTGTCATCGATTTCCCTGTTCCTTTACAATATGGTGACATTTCTGTACATAAAAATTACGTCACAATGATGCTTTTGTTGGGCTGGCTGAGGAATAACCTGGTGTTCATCTATCAAGCAGTTTCAGTGGGGAAGGAATTCATAGTATTCTAAAATGTCAAGTTCCGCTGCGTTGTAAATAATGCCTCGTGATGTGCTTCTGCGGTTTGTTCTTTGCTAGTGAGCAAGTTTGGTCCAAGTGTATGCCTTTCCTTTTAGAATTAATGTCTTTAAAAATTTCCAGTAGCATCTCACTGCATAGCATCCTAGCTCCTAATTCAAAGCAAGGTAAGACATTACACACCATCCTGCTTTTCCCCTTTCTGTCCTGCTTGGGAAAATAATGATTCCAATTAAAGCGGACACCAGTAATCCTGACCCACAAAGGAACAGACCTAAAAACTAGAAAACTGTATATAGCTCTAGCTGAATCTTCAGCCCTTTGTGTACTCTGGGTTTGTGACAGTGCCCTCAGGCGCCCCGTGGCCCACCAAGGTTGGAGAGGGTCGTGCTTTCCAGCGTGAGCCTGGGCAAAACTGTGGAGTTTACAAAGAGTGATGGGCACAGGCCCACCCTCCTTGCTCTTGGTGCCCCCCGCCCTCTGCCTACCAGAGCATCTCAGGAAAGGATCAGATGCAGGATCTACATGGACTTCTTCCAGAGATATTTGCATTTCAGCCTTAAGTCTAATTGCAAGTGAAAGGCTTGGTCCCCTGTGAAGGTGTGTTTCAGCACAGGTGAGCAGGCAGCTTATCGATAAAGCTGCTCTGGGCTCCCTGGCCACCTGCTGGCTGCGAGACATTGAGGGAGGATGTAGTCCTTGGGGGGATTCAACAGGAGAATGCTGAGGAACACATTTACAAGGCCCACGGATGATGCTAGAATTTCTTAGCCTCAGTACTATTGACATTTAGGGATGGGTAATTCTCTGTTGTGAGGAGCTGTCCTGTGCACTGTAGGATGTTTAGCAGGATCCCTGGCCTCCACCCACTAGACGCCGGTTAGCAAACCCAAATTAGTTGTGACAACTAAAAGTGTCTACAGGCATTGCCAGATGTCCCCTGGGGGACACTCCTGGCTGAGAACGACTGGGTTATGCTAGTGGTTTGTCTTGTGTGGATAGGCAGAGTGATGTGTGGGGCGTCCACTGCAGTGTTACGTGGACAACCTGTATCACAAGTCTGTGGGCCTTCGTCTCAATGCCCAAGACCAGGCTTTCCCATAGGTCTGCGGCATTCTGCCAGCTGGGGCGGGGAGGGAAAAATAGGGTGAGCCACGAACAGAAGCCAACCTGTCGGTTCTCACTTTGTGTTCACTGAAGATGCACCCCAGCCCCCACCCCATTCCTAGACAGCAAACCTGTTACCTTCGTTTTCCTTGGCCCCTGGTTCCTGGAAGCGACAGGAACTTCTTAATGGATTTATGGCCTTTAATTGGTTAAAAAAAATCAAGTCGAATATCATTAGAAGATAGTCAAGGTCTACGCTGATCCTGAGAAATCTTGACTTTTCTTTTGTAAGCCAACAGCTATTTTCATTGATCACCTTCCTTGGCAGTTTCTCCTTGAAGAGAAAATGATCCTAACAGCTTTAATTTTAAATGGACTATAAAATGGAGGAGAGTAGGTTTGGGGCGGGATGTATTGACCAGACACTAAGTTCAGTCCTCGGAAACTCATGTCTTTTAACCTGGCTTTGATGTTGGTTCATAGTATGGGTGGGGGCAAATCTCTCAAATCTTTCTGTGCCTCAATATCCCTGCCTGAAAATGAGACTGGTCATGCTAACCTACCTCCTCTGATGTATTGTGAGAATTATAGAATAACACTTTTTAAAGAAGAAAGTGTCGTCTTTCATCTATTGAGTCTAGGCTAATGGTTCACATTCAATGAATCGAGCCTGTGTGGGACTTTCCAGAGTGTTCTCTGACCACAGTGTCTTCCATCTGAGCTTCTTATGACCGGGAGCATGTATTTTTTTTACACAGCTGCCTGGCCTTGAGGGAGTAAAACTGACATTTAAAACAGGCTTCATATGACCCTAGAAAGCAACACCCCAAATGTCCCCATTCCCAGTGAGGCCTATTTTAATGGTATTCTTCGTGCGAGGTGCTGTAAACAGGCCACGTGTCAGCATTCTCATTGTTAGACCCAAAGGCACCTGCCTGTGTGGGAGGAGATTAACCCGCCTTTCTGTCTCCTTGATTACCTTAAGTTCTTGTATCTAAGGGGTCCCCCCACCATAGTGTGTCTCCTTTGTTTCCAAAGATCTCAGCAGAGGGAGCAGCTTTGAAAACCAAGGTCAGCGAGTAAGGTGAGATGCAATCAAGCTGCAGTCTAGAAGGCTGGCTGGGCAAAAAGGTGGAGGGGGCTGGTGGTCGGCACTTCGCTGGGGCTTCACTTGCACTGTCTGTTAAGGGCGGTTCCTGCTTTTTTCATGAATGCTGTTGACTTCAGTCAGAAGGAGCAGTTGGGAGCTGAGACCCACAGGGAAGTCGCGTCTGGAGGCATCACTATTCTCTCAAAGAGAGCAGCTCACGGAGGGCCAGGCTGCCTCACCTAGTCCTGGGGAAGACCCGGGGGCCTTGTGGGCAAGCCAGATGGGCGCTGCTCACCAGACCAGGCCCTCAGGAAGGCTCTGAGGAGAGTCCAAAAACAGCCCTCAGGTTTGGAAAAGTGACTGTTTGCGGCTGTGGAAGCAGGAACATGGCGGGTGCTTCCTGGGTGAGACGCCAGCCTGGGGAAGGCCTTTCCGACTCCTCCCACACCTGGTGACTGGACATCCCAAGCCCCAGACTTTCTCAGCACTGAGAGGACGTGCAGAGTGAGCAAAGCAGAAAATGTTAAATGCATGATGTAGAATTGCTGCTTTCGCACTATACTGTTGTATTAAGCATGAGAGATGTGTGTGAACATTGGCAAAGGAATTTAAAAAGTAACAAAAAGCTTTGTGTCCTTGTTTTGGCTGTTGACAGAACTTCCATTTTCCTGCCTTTCCTTACCCGTTTCCTCCCGTCCTTCCATCGCGTCCACTTTCTGTCACTAGTTGTTTGTATTCGGTGGCACCTCTTGGTCCCATTGGTGTTCATGTTCCACTAGAAACACAGAACAGGGGGAGAGGGGGTAGCGAAAGCAACTTTTTTCTAATTTTTGTATTGGTATCCACAAGCGTTTGTATTTTTTGAATTGCAAACACTGTGTTTTCTGGTCTCTGGGGGTTGGTTGAATTTTGTGTATTGCCTTTTGGAAAACCTGAGTTTTACCACAGTCTTAAGCAGATTTGAAATAAATTCTTTTGACACTGCCAACAACCGGAAGACATGGTATGGTCTGTAATTACGATTCGTGGCAAGGTCTGCCTTTCTCCAAACTGGCCTTGACTGCCAGCTGGACGGTTCAGGCTGCAGGAGGGGCGGCCTCCCGGCCTCCAACCCAGAGGGCCAGGGCATTGTTCAGCGTCAGGGTCGGTGTGGGTCTGCTGTGTGTGCCCAGGAAATCTTAGTTACATATGACTCAAAATTATAAGGTACCATGTCAAACAGTGGAGAGCTCATGGAATTCATTTTGCAAGAGGTACTAAGGCTAGAAATTGCCAACAGTTAACACATGGTTAAGATAAATTCATGAATAAAAAATTGATCATGGGTTACAAGCGGAAACTGAGCCTGGGGGAAAACATCCTAATCTGTGAGCATCAAGGAGACCGATGAGCTCCTTCGACTACACAGAATGAGCCTGAGTGTGTCTGATCTGAAGACTCTGTCCCTTGTTGCCTTCCTCAGATCATGATCCTCAAGAGCAGCCATCTCACATGCCCCCAACGACCCCTGAGACCCGGCCTCGCCCTTCAGTTACCTGCAGATTACTGAACGGCTGGGCCGGCTGCGTAGGGGGTAGCTGCAGACTCAGATTAGACAGCAGGACACTTAGCAGGTGCCGTTGGGATCCACACCCTTGGAAGCAAAGGGAAGCAAGCAGGATTGGGCCAAGAGAGATGTCGAGCCGTGATGCAGACCCAGCCAAGGCCTCAGCCAACTCTGCTCTGGAGTTGTCCGGAGTCGGGATGAGAGAACTGGTTTAATACCCTCGCATCAATCCTTCACTGACTGTGGGCCACCTTGGGAAGGGGTGAGGCAATCCCTGAGGAGGGCAAACAGCCGGAGGCCGTGCCCTCAGCACTCTCAGCAGCCGAGCAAATAAGTCCTTATTCTTGAAAGGGGATCTGGGTGAGACATAGCGCATCCACCACAGTCCACCCACGGTGCCACAGATCCATGCTTCACTTGAGTTTGGGAGAAGGTCTTCCAGAGCTCCTGGGGCGAGGCTTAGACGAGGAAGGTGAGGGGGACAAAGCGTGTTCCCTGCCCCTGTAGCTGGTCGCGGAGCTGCATCGGACAGCCATCGTCTGCCCCCACCTGGCACCTCTGCTAATCATGATCCAGACCCTCATCTCCCGGGGTGAGCCTCAGGTCCCCAGGCCCTTCTCGGTCCAGCGTTGCTGCGCTTGTCTACTTACCATCAAAATTAGGCAAAGGGAGTATCAAGAAACGCCTGAATGGATGGCCTGGGTGCAAACAGCTCCCTCCCTGCCCCACTGGGCAACAGCAGCCCTACCTCCTCTTGATGGTCAGGGTCACTGCCCCCTGCAAGGTGGTGGCTCTTCTGGCCCAGGCAACCACCTGTTCAAGGGGACACGTGCTGTGTTCTCTTGCTTTTCCCTTTGGGAAGCGGGGTCTTAGGTCCACAGGGCCGAGAGCTGTGGGGACGGGAATCACGAGCTCCCTAAGTGGGTCACTGGGAGTCACGTTAGGCAGTAGTGTTGTGTGGAGGAAGGACCGATCTAGGCAGATGCATCCAGGGCGGGGAAGAAACCCCTGCGAAGGGGAAATGGGGCTTTGGAAGACAGTGAGGAGACAGTTCCCCACCCCATGCTCCTTCGTGGCTGTTGCAAGAATCTGAGTCATAGAACCGTCTTCCTTTGGACAACTGTTTTCCACTGTGGCTTCCCTCTGCGGCTAAGCTTGCGGGAAGAAACTTTATCAACGGGGAAATAAAAAGCATGGTCTTCAGTCCTTGCAGGACAGGTTGCTTTCTCTGAGCCCCTAGACCTCTGAGCATTTCCAGAGCACCCAATGGTCACAAAACTGCTCTTTAAATATTTATTCAGTAAATTAAAAGATGAAACAAAAATAAGGGGAGCAACTTAGACCTGGAAGTTGCATGCTTTTCCAGAACTGACTAGCCTGGGGGTCTGGTCCAGAGTCTGGCCAAGAGCTCAGCTGGCTCTTGGGAGGCGGGGTTAGGTGGGGGTAACCAGGTCTCCCTGCTTCCCTGTTGAAAATGAAAAGGAGTTAAATGGCTCAGCACCCAAAGTAATAGGGCATTTCTAGCTCCTGAGATGTTTTCCTAGTGCTTTGTCATGTTTAGGATCTTCAACACCTTTAAAAAAATTACTCTTAAAAACTGCCAAAATGTATATCCTAATAAATACAACCTTTCAAAATAAACCTGGAAAATAAAACATTAATTCCAATTTTGCTTCAATTAAAAACATTTTTTGAGCTCCTCATTTGGCAATGCCTTTGGAGTCAACATGAGTCACATAAGAAAGCCATTTACATGCCTGTTTTCACCAAAACTTGCTTACTTACTGGGTTTATTATCATTTACTAGGTTTAGCTGAATTTTCTGGCAATGGGGAAAAAAAGCCAAAATTGATTACCGTCGTTGAAAACTTTCCTTTTAATGTGCCACAAGCTTTGAAAACTCCCAGACACTTTGAGCAAGGGCATTATCATTACAAAATATCCGTATAGCTGCCAAAGGTGATTACTTTGAAGGAGACAATATTTGCTTAAATGTAGGTACTAGGACATGTGAAACCCATCTGTTGTGCTATTTAATAGTCACGGTCATATACACCAAAAAAGTTCTATTTATATAACTTCTTATGAAGTAGATTTTATATACTTGGTAGGCTGAAAATTAAAACTGCTTTTCCCACGAAACAACTGACAAATGACCACATTCTTAGTTCTTTCACGATAGAGTAACATTAAATCATCTTTTAAAAATTAAAAGGCAATTTAAGCTGGTTATCAATATTTACCCATCAGTAAAATTATGAGAAATCATCTTAGGAGCAAATGCACAAAACAGCAGTGAAATTGAAGCTAGAGTGAAGCTTGCAGGAGAACACTGACATTCTTTTAGCAGGTTTACTTCATATTCACACAGTAGCTGGCCCAACACAATTATCACCAAAAAACACACTTTAGCAGCTAGAAATTTTATTTCTTTTTTTTTTTATTTTTATTTTTCCTTCTTCTCCTCAAAGCCCCCAGTACCTAGTTGTATATTCCAGTTGTGCCTCTGGTTGTGCTATGTGGGACGCTGCCGCAGCATGGCCCGATGAGTGGTACCATGTCCGAGCCCAGGATCCCAACCGGTGAAACCCTGGGCCGCCAAAGCAGAATGCGCGAACTTAACCACTTGGCCATGGGGCTGGCCCCAAATTTTATTATTTTTATCTGATTTTTTTCCCTAAAATAAAAAAAGCCGTCTGTGAAATATGAAATAAATAACAATCTGGAAGTCTTATTGGGGTCCAGTTTCAGGATCACGGCACTCTCCTGTTCCTCTCTTTCTTTTACAAAGTACTTCATTTTGGCACTCGGGAAGAATTTATTTTCTTAATATCAACTCGGCTCAGAATCAGTGTCCCATTTTTGAATTTTCCAATCTGTCCAGTCCGTCCACTTGAGAAAATACTGGGAGCTGATTTCTTCCTTTTGGATTTCCTGCATTTAAAGTGAGAGAAAGGTACTACAGTTAAGCTTGTAAAGAAGGATTGCAGCACCACCAACCAGGGGACAGTGGCCTACTCCTGCAGACTCCTGCTCCCTCTCATGCACAGCCCCGCACCCTCTGGCAGCAGCACTGGCCTTCAGCGGTCTCTGAAATGCACCAACTGCATTCCTGCCTCAGGGCCTTTGCACTGGTTTCTTCTACATGGAATGCTCTGCTACCGGATCTTTCCAGGCCATCTCCTCTTCTCCATTCAGTTCCCAACTCAGATGTCACCTCCTTAGAATGACAGCCCAGCCCACACCAGTGATTTTCTTTCACAATGCTTTATTTCAACCTCTTCACAGAACTTGCCAGGACCTGACATCCCCTTACTTATCTGTTTGTATGTTTTGGTGTGCTTCCCTCACTATGATGTAAGCTCCTCAAGGGCAGGGACACCCTCAGTGTGATCATGGCTGTATCCCCAACACCTAAGACATCTATGTGCCTGGCACCTGGGGGGCCCTCAACAGACATACATGGCCAAACAAATGACCACTTGACAGCATATGCAAGCTCACCAGGAGTCCAAAAAAAGGTGGAGACAAAAGGAGTCAATTTTGAAACAGTAATTTGGGGAGAGAGAAAAAGGCACTTGAACCAAAGCTAAGAAACAGGCATAAAGCAACAAAATCCATGTTCCATTACTCAAATTATGGCACTCTACCTCCTGCGGAATGTCAAAGAACAGGTGATACAGACCCAGACTGTGCCGTCATGTCAGCAGGCACTCTCAGGAGGGAACAGAAGTCTTTTGTTGGAAATGTCAACCTCAGCTTTCCGGCTGTCACTCGAGGTGTCCAGTCTTTGAAAATGGGGGACTAGAGAAGGTTCCTAATTCAGTTCTGAGGTATTATTGGATCCTGGACAATTTACTACATCCTGTCTTCCCCTCAAAGGGCTCGATTAGCATAAGTGAAGGCAGTGAGGCACTCTAACAGGCTAGAACCACCACATGAATGCAGGGTATTAATTTCAGAACTAATCAACACGTTCGTTTATCCAGATCATTCCACCCTGGTACCTAATGGTATCACTCACCTGTCTTCCTGCCCTTTCCTCTTCTTTTTCTTGAAAATATCTGTGTCCTGGGCCTGATTTCAAAATTTAAGATAACATACGTGTCAGTAATGGATAATGGAGATCCAAAAAAAGGCAAGAGGTTTGTGACCCAAAGCCACTGAAATACTATTTTTAATACGTTTTCGAGGAGGCTTATTAAACATAACAGACTCAAATTCCATCCTAAAACTCTTTCAGGAATGTGAAAGGCCATTCCAGAGAAGACTGACAATAGAAATGTCAAATCTTCCATTTTAGGTGAAAGTCAGGGAGTAGAATATCTATTCCTCTGGCAGTTTTTCATAAGCCCTTGTGTTCTATACAATGTGAAATGCAAAAGAATGACTGAGTCTAGGACAAAGATCAAAGCAGCTCACACCATCTGAACAGGAGTTTGCATTTCAAAGCAAACCTTTCCTGTGAATATGCCAAATCACTTGCCTGGTATTACAAAATGTAGCTGACTTGAAGAAGTGGAGAGAAGTTGCTCATTTAACTCCAGATCTGGGTGTTGTCTAGACTGCCTTCCAAGCAGTGGAGTACAGCATTCCACTGTGGCAAATTACAACCAGGTTTCTGTTCTAGAAGTTTAATAGAGTAAAGAGAAGGCTATCACACCTACCCTTCTCTTTTCTTCTTCTTTTGCTGCCTTTTTTTCTTTGATTTGCTCCTGCAAAACCTTGTAATTCACATAACTATTTTTGGGAGGCTGAAATGAAAGAAAAAGGATACCTATTATCATTTTTCATTTTGCAAAAATTTCCCATGTCCCTTGCCCTGACTTGCCCTGGGCTCTCTCGCCCCTTTTCTGTACCCTGTCTGGTGATGGCAGGCAGAAGAACCCCTCACCTTGGCACCCAGCATAATGGCGCGTTCCTGTTCCAGGACTCTTTCCTTTCCTTTTCCATAACCCGTGATCCCAAACCGGTGCACTTCCAAACGAGCCTGCAGACACAAAGCAGAATCCCAAAGCTCCACGGTGTGTTCAAAAACTCCGCAGAAGAAATGCATCCCTAGGAGGGCTGGACGTCAGATGCCACGTGCCGTCCACCAAATGCTTTTACGTATTCTCACGACCTGCAGTGACGGCAACTAGCGAGGACTCCGTTATGGCGTGGTTTAAGGAGCTCCGTGCAGATCTCTTAAAATGCCACCCTAATCTCGCAACACCATCCTCCCACACTGCATGTGGACAGTTGAAGCAGAGGTTTATCTCTGCACAAATCAGTGCAGACCTAGGATCAAAGGCAGAGCTGGGTGGGACCCTCGGATGCTCTCTAAAACAAGCTACTATCCATACCCGCAATTTCATCCCAAAGGTACCTCTCCAAACACACTCACTCACACTTAGAGCAGCTTCATCACAGCAGCTTCAAACACATCTGTGTTTTTCTTTAAAGAGATTTTGTAGAAGAGAAAAAGTTACCGATACCCACTCTTCTCAGCTGAATTACTTCCTCCTGTCTTTTTTCTCTGCATTTTTAAAACCGAGTTACAATCACAGAATACACACATCCCTGCTTTTCTTTCTTACCGCTGTATCACTGGCATTGTGGTGACAAAACCATCGTGTTCTAAATGGTTGTATAATATTCAATCAAGTAAATGTAGCATGATTTGCTTAACCATTTCCCCAACCACTGGGCATGCAAACATAGTCTTTTTTTTTTTTGGTATTACAAAGCTGAAAAAATTAACAATTGCAAAACACATACCTTCTCTAAGTTAAATTCTTGTATATCCACATCTTTCTCAAGGATACTAGTTTTGGTCTGAAAAGGAAAAAAAAAAACTCTTATTAAGATCATCTGTTACTATTCCATCACCAACAGACTCATGTTTTTAAAAGCCATGAAACTGGCCCAGAGGCCTAATACCAAACAATAATACAAGCATCTTGCACAAAAGCCAAATGAACAGCTAGCATAAGAAAAATGGAGTAAAAAATTTTTAAGACCTCAAAGCTTAAGAGAAAGGATTGATGAGAAACTAAGAAAAAAGAAAAGATGGTCAGAGAGAGACCAATGTCTGTATCTCACGCACCATATGTAGAAAATTTTGTTGGGAGGTGGTTAGAAAGGGATAATTTTGTTTGAGCAGGGATTTTAGAGGGTAAAAAAATGTTCTATTTAAATAATTTTTTCTTTCTTTCCTTTCCTCCCATCCAGCCTTTAGAATAATGGCTAATAAAACTCTCCTGAGTTGAAGATTTCTTTCAGGAACACGAGATTCCTAGAAATGGTGGAGATTGGGTTTGCAATTCCCAATAGAAAATAATGATACTGCAAATGCCTTCAAAATAGGTCACTCTTTACATCAACATATCCTCTGGCTGTCATTACCAACCCATAGAATCGACCAAGAGCTTAAGATTTTAAGAGAACCACTGTCAAATCTGGCCAACGACAGCAGTCACTACTCAACTCCAGCTCCAAAATCTGGACAGACAGGAAGCTGGCTGTAAAAGCGTGCAGCTTCTAGAAAATGGTGAAGGGAGATGGTCGGCCCTGAGCCCCCAGCTGGCTGTGTGCCAGGGTGGGACGTCCTGCCATGCCTGCCCAGCAGGGTGGGGTCTGTGCCAGGACGAGAGCATAGCACTTAGCCCCATGCCCCGCTGAGAGGCGCCGTGCACACGGCAGTCCACATGCCTCCTGGTTTCTTCTTCTCCAAACAGGAGTTGTGCTTCAGCTTATCCTGGTTGTTCCCCCCACCACTGTACTTTGGGTGTGTGGGTCAGTCACTGAACGTTTCCATAGATGATGGCTGTGTTTCCACATGACGGCTTCTGTTTCAATGAGGACCCCTGTACTAACTTCACAGGGGGTTAGGATGGTGAAATAGGATAAAGTAAACAGCAAGTGTGCAGCCAGGTCCAGCAAACAGGAAGACTTGGCCAACGCGTTCATATTCACTAACCCACTGACTATGAAACAACAGCCTCCCAGTAATCCCCACAGCACCGCTCATCTGCTGTCACACTGGACACTGAATGGGCCTGGGTGCTGGTGGTAACGGAGGACTGTGCTGTAGAGGGTGACTATCATGCTCTAGGCATGTGGCCCTGCTCTGTGCTGTTAGTCACAGTAAATGCATCTTCCACATTACTTTATCGGGTCTCCTGGCTGTTATTATGGTTATGGTTCTCCTCGGACAATCACATATTTCACAGAATCAAATGCTTTACTTAAGAGCATGAGGGCAGCATGGAGGATGCTGTGTGGGGCTCCTCCATTTACCTACCCCAGAACGTGTTATTCTCCTCTTCCATGACTGGAAAAAATTCCACTTTTACTTTGAACTTAGGATATGTTTTCCACTGGCATGCACATCTAATCAGTTTCGTATGATAAACAGTAATAGTATTATTGAAAAGCAAATGGATTAAAAAATCATAATGATTTCAGGATCATATCTAAGTCCTCAAATACAAATTTTATATATACCAAAAAAATTGTACACCGTTCACAGACCTCCAAAATCCCATAGAACTTTTGCCTCCTTTTCTAAATATTTAAATAGTTCTTCCTCTCTCCCATCCATCCAATAAGTAATGACTGACTAAACTCTTTTGAGTTGAAAACTTCTTTCAGGAACGCCAGATTCCTAGCAATACTGGAGAAGTCACAGACGCCCTCGGCTGACCTGTTCCTAGAAGATCAGCAGCAGAATGGAGCGATGGGTCCTAAAGAGGACCTGTTTCAATGCGGTCCTATCATAAACCTCTCAGCCAATTGTGTGATAGTTACCTTGAGGCTGAAACCCCTGGGTCCTGATGTCCTTGCTCTCCCCAACACCAGCCCCACAGAACACCCAGTCCTTGCACTGCAGGCCTCAGTTCATCCTGACTATGGGAACACCTGGGCTGAGGGGCTGTGTACACCAAGGGCAGACCTGGGTGGCAGGTCTGGCTAGAGACAGAGATCTTGGTGTTCCCAAGTGTTCTGTTAACATTTCACCGGAAACGTCTTAGCTTTATAGCTGTTGATTTGTTTCTGAGAAAGGGTCCGAGTTCTGGATTCCCATTTATAATAAAAGCAAACATTTGGAAAAAAGTTCTTGGCTAATTATTTCATGACGCTGAGTCTATTAGCACGACCCCACCACCATCTAACTTTAACTTTTTATTCATAGCTTTAAAACCACTTCAGTGTTTATTTGTAATGCATTCCCTGATCGAGAAACAATCAGTGGTTTCCTCTAGTTTCCTGCCCCTCACATCACTGTGGTCGGAGGCACTGCTACCTACAGGCAATGTTGGGTCCTCCTCCACTTCTAGACACACAGGAGAACTGGGCTTCACTGTCCACCTCAAGTTAGGCAGGGCTACGTGACTTTCTTTGGCCAAAGAAATGTGAGCAGAGGGGAAGGATGCCCGTTCCGCATGGAGCCTTGAAGAGGCATTCGTCAACTCCCCTTCTTCACCAAAGCCACTAAGAACCTTCCAGACGGTGGAGTCCCTGTTATCCTGGGTCTCTAGGGAAGGATCCTGATAGACAAGTAACATGAGAAAAAAATTAACTTTTGCCTTTAAACCATTGAGATGTAAGGACTATTTGTAATCAAACCACTGCCTAACCTATCCTAACAAAGCCTACAGTAGAGAGAAATGTCTGGAGATTTTGAGAACTTGTATGTTACACAATGAAGAAGGAAGAAAGCTACAAAAAGAAGGAGGAGTTGGGAGAAACGTCTGGGGGTGCGGGATGAAGGCAGGGAGCCCACCAGGGTCAATGAACTTGTCTAGCGGCTGCCTCGCCGACCAAAAGTATTTTCTCCTCCAGTGATTAGATTTTTTATTCTATTAGTTACACTGGCCAACTTTTGTCCAATGAGAGAACAGCTGGGTAAATATACACTCTCTTTGCAAAATGCAGGCAGTTCTAGGCATATTAAGAAATTAATTCATATCTTATTGTGTGTAAATTACTTCGACTAGATTACTTTCTTCCTGACACCTATCTGACACTGCATCTACTAAAGAACAGGGAGCATGGTACAAAGTTGAAGGATGCTGCTGGAGTGCAGAGGATTTCAGGGTGGAGTCCTGGGGAGTGATCTAGATAATGCAGAGGCTATGAAGGCAGTTAGAACCTGGCAATCACAGGTTCTGGGTCAGTATACTCGTGTTACACAAGGGCAAAGGGACTTACCTAATCTATATTCTCCCTCTAACATAGTAGTTGGGTACACAGCTTTTAAGCCAGGGAGCCTGGCTTCTGAACCTGAGTTCTAGCACTTACTTCACACCCACAATCCTTTATCTGGAATCTTGAGAAAATCCAGGAGTATTTACATTTTAGAAAGGTAATACTGTGAATATACTGAGTGTTCCATACCACTTCCAGTGGGGTCTAAGACAACAACTCATAATTAACTATATTCATATTTCCACAGCAACATCTATGAATATTCATACCAAATAGAACAAAAGTAATTCTTGCATCAGTTCAGGTCAGGTTTTGCTGCCAAATAAATCTGCACAAAACTTTAAAAAAAAACAACAAACAAACCAGCTCACTAGTGAGTTCCAACGCGTCGGAGTTTTGGAATTGCAGATGTGGGGACACTGGGGTCACTGTTTAAAAGCAGGCAAACAATTTAACTGTCTTGTATCAATCTCCCCTGTAAAATGAAGACCGGTCACACACATTGTGAGGATTCAGTTAGATAATGAATTCGTTAATGAATATAAATAATCACGTTTAGTACATAGTAAGCATCTGGGAAATATTAGCTGTTATTAGCAATTCTTTACATGCTCAAAAGCAGTCTATGTGTACCTCAGTCCAGGCCACAGGATCCAAGAGTCCTTTCTTACCTACGGTACAGTTTTATTATTTCTATTACGTCTTTCTTACGCCTTCTCTGTGTAGGCCACAACGGAAGCTAAGGTTCCTGAAATAGGGGCAGTGACTCACCTATAGGAGGACGGACCAATGCTAAGGGTGGAGAAATAGCATTGGTGAGGCATATCCCTAGGGGCCAAATAGTATTTGGATCATTTTAAGCTACATATGACACTTCCATTTGTTAGGGGCCTACGCATTTTTTTCCTCACAGGCAGTCTTGCAATACTCATTACAGAGTACATTCCCCAGCTCATTCCTCAAATCACAAGGCCAGCCCCTATCTATAATCTCTTTACCACTCAGGGGCCATGGTGATCTTTGGAAAATATAAGTCAGACCACCTCATGTCCTTGCTTAAAAAATTCTTGTGGATTCCCGCATACTTTAAACTAAAACCCAAGGCCTCACCATTGTCTACAAGACCTGCTAAGGGCTGGCCTCAGGCTGTCCCTCCCACAACGACTCACACCATTCTCCCCTCTGACCAACACACCACAAGCCATTTGCGACACTGCTCTTCCTCTGCTGACCATTGTCCCCTCTGTCCTACTCCCACTAGTCTTCTAGCTGGTGGAACATGTCAGGCCTTTTCATACCACAGAGCATTTGCAACACTGCTCTCTCTCCGTCCCCGTTACTCTTCTCCGCTCCTTTCAGTAGCACAGCTCCCTCTCACAGAGCACTAGCCTGACATCACCTCCTCAGACACGGCCCGACCACTCTATCTAAAGGAGGTTCTGTCCGTTACGCTCAGGACACTAGTTCTTTCCTTCAGAGCGTTTATAACTCTTTAATTATATTACTCATTTACCTAGGGTTTCTCTAACTCCACCAGTAGATGGTACACTCCATGAGGGCAAAAGACTATACCTTCTGCACTGCTGGATCACCTGGGTCTGGCAAATAGTAGGCACCCAATTCTTTGTGGAATAAATGAATGAATGAGTAAGTGATCTTACTGTTTCCTGTCAAACTACTTCTATAGTGTCTGCTTATACATGGGATGTTATCAAGAAGTTCATTTGTAGGTTAGACATTTGGAATGAGTAAAATGTTACACAAATAGTGGACAAATTCCCAGATAAGCCTATTAAAAGAAGCTCTGGTCACCAATTCTGACCTGTGTGTGTGTTGGAGGGTTTCCCCACATATCCAACAAGCAATGCTCTGATACCAGTTGGGTGTCCTACAATTCAACTCAATTCTGACACTATCTACCTGGAGATAGTGTCAGATCCCACAGGTCAAGGGCTCAGTCCCACAACACCGCCCTCTACGTTAGATGCCATTTGAAAGCCCAAGTTGTTACCCGTACTTCTGACCCACTGGCTACAAATCAGAGGTTCCCATGACCCCTCCTTGGGTTCAATTACTTTGCTAGAGTGGCTCACAGAACTCTGGAAACCCCTTTACTTACTAGATCATCAGTTTATTATAAAAGGGATATAACTTAGGAACAGCTGGATGGAAGAGATACACAGGGCAAGGCATGAAGAAAGGGCGTGGAGCTTCCATGCCCTCTCCCAGCACCTCCACATGTTCACCAACCTGCTCTCTGAACCTTGAAGCCTGTCCTTGTGGCTTTTTATGGAGGGTTCATTATGCAGGTACGAGTGATTAAATCATTGGCCACTGGCGACTGATTCAACCTCCGGCCCCTCACCTCTCTCCTAGAGGTCAGACTGAAAGTTCCAACTCCCTAATCACAGAGTTGATCCTCCTGGCAACCAGTCCCCATCTTTGGGTGCTCTCCAAAAGTCACTTCCTTCATATAACAAAGGACACCTTTATAGCTCTCGTCTCTTAGGAAATTCCAAAGGTTTTAGGAGCTCTGTGCCAGAAACGGAGACAAAGACCAAACACATATTTCTTATTACAAATCTGTTTCAATACACAATGCAGTTTAATCACAGTATTCTGAAAGATGACTTGAGATATTGAGTGGAGCCCTACGAAAACAGAGCCGGAGCAGCCATTTCAGAGGAACTGCTTTGCAGGTCTTGTTTTCTTTATCTTCCAAACTAGACCAAATAGACAACATTCCAAGACGTCAGTAAGGACAAGAATATCCTGTCTGTAAGAACCGATGCAACTGGACTTTGCTGATATCCAATCACTAGCCAATCAATGAAGTACAAGTCTAGCCCGTTGCCTGATGACTAAATCTTAAGCCATTCTGTGAACCTGGCCTCACCTTATGCAGCACCGATGAACTAACTCTTCCTTAATACAACTCACCTCATACTCCCCTTTTCCCATAGAAACCCTGAGCTCCTCTCCGGTAATTGGGACATTACTTGGGTTTCTACCTGAATCTGTGCTCCCTGAATTGCAATTTTTTGATTCCAAATAAACACTTACTATGCCTCTTAAACTGGTTTCTGTTTTTGTAGGTTGTCAGTACTTATAGAACAAGCCTGAGTTCTGGGAAAAGAAGGTGATTTCCTGGGTTCAGGCCGGCCCAGCCGGATTGCTGTCCAACTCACTAGGACTTCTTTCGTTCTCAAGTGTTCTTCAGAGATGATCAGCTGATTCCATGACTGATCAATGGAGGCTATCATTATCTTAGTATATATTTTTGCTGATTCCATGTCTGTTTGAACTGTCCTACAACAACTTATAAGCTCTTAGAAAGCAGGGGCCACAACTATACTTTAGCACGTTACACAAACCCTTAGCATAGCATTACATATCCTAATTAGCCCCAACTGACTATTTTTTACCTCCATTCCCTCTGCCCAGGATAGGCCATAATAACTGGCGTTATATTCATTTGTATTTATGTACATGTTGCAAGGTCAACACGCTAAAGTCTTTTTATGGGTGTATGTGTTTTTAGTGTGTCCTTAGCCTGACGCATTCACATTTTCAAAGGATAAACTTTGAAAAGGATGAAAGGGCAGAGCACCAAGGACAACAGAAGCATTTCATTTAGGTCAGGAAGTCCAAAATGTAGAGTGAGCTGAGGTTCCTGAGAAAAGCCAACTACAATGAAAAAGGGCTCATTAGGAGCAGGAAGAAAGGACAATTCAACAGCTGCTACAGATGTGCTGTTACTGAGGGACAGGGAAATGCAGGGCCATTCAATGCCAAGTTTTTGTTCTTTCTATCACAGAGAAAACCTTCCATTCCAGGAAGAGGAACATGAGCGAGTGTAAGTGGAAACTGAAGGGAGAGTGCCTCGATGCTTTATGTTAGTTAAACTCTCCAAATGCAGAATTATATTACAAAGCAGTGCTTTCCAATCTTTTTCATATCATGGCACACACAGAAAATACTAATATTTGTATGGTACACTGGGGTGCACTGTGGTAATTTCATTAATTGTAGGCTTCCCCGGCTGGCCAGTTGGGGGCTCTGGCTACCTCGAGGGGTGAGGGAATCCGTTTCTTAGCCTGCCTGTAACAGTTCCCAGCACCCTCGTATTTAGACTATAAGAATTGGAAAGCTGACTTAGAATCCTAAAATAAAGGTAGATATGATTACAGAATGCACTAATAATCTTTGAGGAAGGGGTGCTGGTAAGCTTGACATGAAGTGCTACTTGAATTCTGGAAAAGATCACACAGATAGCTTTTTAAACCATAAAAAAGATGCAAACACTGGGCACCAACAGGTGTTTGCACATTCACAATGAGCAATGCAAGCCTAACTAGCTTTGTCGTAGGTTGAATTGTGGGTTCCAAAAAGCTATGTCCATGTTCTAACCCCTGAAATCTTTAAATGTGGCTTTCTTTGGAAAAAGGGTCTTTGCAATGTAATTAAGTTAAGGATCTCACGATGAAATCCATTCTAGATTTAGGGTGGGCCCTAAATGCAGTGACAGGTGTCCTTCTAAGAGAAAGGGAGAGGGAGATGGGAGACTCAGACGCACAGGGATGAAGGCCGTGTGAAGACGGAGGCAGAGTTTAGAATTATGCAGCCCCAAGCCAAGGAAAGCCTGGAACCACCAGAAGCTGGAAGAAATAAGGAAGGATTCTCCTGTTTTGTGGAGAGTCCTTAATTCTGGACTTCTGGCCTCCAGAACTGCGGGAGGATAAATTTTTGTACAGCAGCCCTAGGAAACTAATACAATCCTCCTTTCCTTTTATGATACACAAAAGTTTATAAGACATAGAGAACGCTATAGAAATGGAAAATCTGATTTTTAGCAACGAATCTGACAAAACCATTATGATATCCTTGTGAAAAAATTTTGGATGAGCAACCACACCACTCCCACGAACTGAATTTTCAGTGAGATTCACAAATTCAGTCTGAAAGGGATTGCTGCTCCCTAAAATCAAACTGCTTTTCTATCAGAAGGAAAGTTCCTTGAGAGCAAGGATTTTGTGGATTTTATTCAATGCCATGTCCCGTGCCTAGAACGGTGGCCAGAAATAAGTGTTGAATGATTGGGTTCTTTCTCTGAGCACCAACAAGCAGAAGGCTTACAAACAGAAAGGGTTAACTCAGCAGGCTTGGGTTTATCAAACCCGGCACATTGCTAAGAACATCCTATTTTCAGGATTGGCCCTTGGCTGGCTCCTGCAAACACTAATTGGAATATGCTGTTTGCTAAGAATGTTTTGAATACCTGAGGCCTTGAGCTACACTGTATCAAGTATGCCCTGATAGTTTATACTAATAATGTGATTTATGGTGAAAACCTGCTTTTTCTCCAGGGGTCTAGAGCTTGAATAGCTAAGGTCAGTGTGTATGCCTATGTGACTGACCCCCCAGTAAAAACCAGGGACATCCAGGCTGGGGCAGGCTTCGCTGGGTGGCAACACTTCGCACATGCTGTCACACATCATGGCTGGGGAAATTAAGCACATCCCATGCAACTCCACTGGGAGGGGACAGGTGGATGCCTACACTTGGCTTCCTCCAGGCTTCGCCCCACACACCTTTTCCCTTTGCCAATTTTACTGTGTATCCCTTTGCTGTAATAAATCGTAACTGTGATAAAGATTACTTACACGCTGAGTTCCAAATCCTGTGAGTGCTTTTAGCAAATCCTTGAGCCTAAGGATTTGGGGACTCCTGACAATCTATAAAGATATTCACCTAACATTACAATATCTGGGTTTTCACCATAAACATAAACTAACCAGCTCGTTACCTTTCTGTTCTCCTCTTGATCTGGCTTCTGTTTTCTTTTTTTATTTCTGCTGTGAAATTCTACCACTTGTACTCGCTCTCTGTTCTTCTTCAGGGGAGGAGACACTGAAGCACTAGGAACTTCTGGTCCTAAAGGGGAACCGGTGGAGGTCACAGCAGGAGCACATTGCAGCTCTTCTCTGAGTTCCTTGAAGAAGCTGGAAGCACTCTTCCTCTGGCCTCTTACAAGAGAACTGAGTTGGGGAGCTGGCTCTGCTGCCAAGGCCACTGAAGTCCCCTCATCTCTCTTCTTGTTTTCCCTTTTCTTTCTGATCCTTTTCTGTTCTGCTTCCTCTTCTGTCTCTCCTGTTTGAACACAAGAAGGAAAAATAAATATTTTGGGTTTTAGCTATCACCAATATCAAATCATATGAATGCACTTATGCATATGTCACAGCTATAAACACCCAGGGATATACACAAAGAAAAAAACTGTTTTTCTTCAAATAGAGTTGCATTTGCACAATTTATAGAATCCAAAACGCAGCCACGTTTTCCTAAGTAACTATATTTATGTCTTTGACTCTTATTAGCACAGTTACTTTAGTCTTCACCTTTCTCTTTACTAAAAGTGCCACCATGGCAATAGTTCCAGGGACTGGTAATGCCAGCTGTCTCATGCTTTGTACTGAAAATGTATGCCACTGCAGCCAATGTTTCTTTTTAACCCTTTCTAGGGTTACAGGTAAGTATTACAATTTTCCTATTTTCTTTCAGTTATAAATTAAAATGAACCTAAGACAATTGGCTTAATGTGAGTGTCCTTATTTTTTTTTCTTCCTTTTTCTCCCCAAAGCCCCCCGGTACATAGTTGTATATTCTTCGTTGTGGGTCCTTCTAGTTGTGGCATGTGGGACGCTGCCTCAGTGTGGTTTGATGAGCAGTGCCATGTCTGCGCCCAGGATTCGAACCAACGAAACACTGGACTGCCTGTACGGGAGCGCACGAACTTAACCACTCAGTCACAGGGCCAGCCCCTGAGTGCCCTTATTTTTTACTAAATCCCCATGATCTTCTGTTTCACCTGTTCACACTCCGACCAGTCACCTGAAGATTCTGACAAAAATTCTAGGCCTCATTACTCACCTACAGTACAAATATCACAGAGTCCTCTAAATATCAGCTGATCACTTATGTTTGCTTCTATTTGCTTAGTCTTTTATTCAATAAACATGTTAAGAGTCAACTAAACTTTGGCATTAGGGATATAAAAATGAGTAGACACGGCCCATGCCTTCAGAGCTCCCAGTATAAGTAAACTTGAGTAAACTAGGTAAACTTGAGAATGTTTTTTACCCTCTAGCACTTGTCTCTACATTTGTAATAACGGGATTAATGGCAATAGCTATTTCACAGGGTTGTGAAAATTAAATAAGTGAATACATGAAAAGTATGGACTATATGGTAAATTGTCCATACTTCTTAGCTACCATTTTTACTATTTAAGTGAGCTTAGAATTTTCAGCAATGACTCCAAAATAAAATTGCTTTTGCAAAACCACACTACGAATTTAAGAAATATGCTTGGTCCGTCAAGGCACTAACACCTAATGATTATCTTTGGTGCATGAACAAGGGATGTCACCTTCTCTAAGACAAGTTCTTCAGAGTGTGTGGAACTGTCTTCCTACTGAAGTGCCAGGCGGTTGTCCACCTTTAATGATAAGCATGTTTACTTTTTCTTTCTCCCATCAAAATAAAGGAAAGAGAGCATAGGTCGGCCAACTTATAGAAAGAAACGGTCGTGAAAGCTTCGTGTGAAAACGTCCTCTGAAGTCCTTGGCGAAGGAGTGAAGGATGAGGCCCCAACGTGACAAGGTGGCACCAACGCACCAGGGTCAGGCGGGTCTCTGGGGGAGGCGCGGGGTGAGGGGGCTTCCCAGAGGTCCGGGAAAAGCGAAAAGGTGGGCTATTTCGAGAGACCAAGGTCCTGTGTGCATCACTCCTGTTAAGTCTGAAAGCCCTGGTGCTTCCAACAAGCAACTAGGTTGGTCCCCACAGGAGCTAGGAAGTTCGACTCATAAAGAATAACTCGACACAGCCCGATCGTGGGGGCGGGAGAAGGGTGATCTCAGACGGAGGTGTGTGCTGGACCCATTATCGGAGCCAGGTTGGACGAGCTGAGGGATGCTCGGCCTACAAGAACCTTCAGCCTGAAAGCGGAGACCGACCCAGTTCAGGGCGCCAGCAGACCCTCGGCTCCTCCAGTCCTCAGTTCGCGTGGGTTCCGCAGGCCTCGCACTCACCAAAGTCGTAGAGGTTCTGGAGCACAGCGTCCAGAAGTGTCTGAGAACAGGCAGGGGCAGAGGACCCCAGGTCTTGCTCCTGCGCCATCGTGGGGTCTGCAGCTGCGTTACAGCCCAGAGGCGGCCTGGATTCCAGCCGCGTGGAGACCCCGCTTCCGGGTTCCGAGGGGCTGCGCGCGCGCGCCGCAGGTCCCCGCGCGGCTTCCGTTCTGGTTAAGATGGCGGCGCCCGGGGTCCTGTGTAGCGGCCGCAGAGGGTGCCACTGTCTTAGGCGAGGTCGGGCCTCCCAGCGCGGAAGAACCGCCCCCAGCAGCAGCACCATCACCGCTTAGCAAAGAATTCCAGGCCTGGCCCGGGACGGCAGCCGCACCATGGATTCCTCCAGTTCATCTAACTCTTTTTTCTCCGGCGGCTCCACCAGTCCCGGCGCTGTCATGCTCCTCTACTCGGTAGGCGCCCAGGGAAACGAGGCCCGGGGCGGGGCCGCGAGAGAGGACTCCCTTCTCCCGGTCCCGGCTGTCTCCAGCCCACGACCCCTGGCCCCAAAACGTGGGTCCCGACGCCCCCGAGGAGGGGTTGGGTGGTTGACTTGGTTTCCAAGGCAACGGTGTATCGCTGTGTGTGTAAATGTGTGTATGCTTTTAGAAGTTTCTACCGGTGATGGATCCTCTGATTCCTTTTCATTCGTTCCTACTCTTTCCCTCCATCAGGCACTGGGCCGTCAGAAAGCCCCTGACACAGGAATGAGGCTGGGAATGGAGTCTCTCCTCCCTAGCGAGGGTGTGTAGGGCGAACCTTTTAGGCAAGCGTGAGAAACTGGCGAGTCTGAGTCAGCCTGAGATAGCTGCCCGTCCCGCTCTTTTGCTGCTGTGATATTCCTGGGAGAAAAACATGTGGCTTGTATGTGGGCATAGAGTTTCTAAGACTTTAAGTTTTTAATCTAGGACGATTTGGAACTTCTGGAAATTTTTATGGCCTGTTTTTGGCTTACATCTGTCATTGTGCTTTTCTCGCAAGTAGTTTTGGAAGACAATGCCATCCAGCCTCTCTCGAACTGGCCATCCCCCCCCCGCCCCCCACTTGATTTCAGCAGGGTTTTTTTGCCAACAGAATGTTGGTCGTTCACAGTTTTTGTGAAGAAATTAATGGTGGAAGCTTTGTAGCTCTCAGGTTTGCACAATCCTGGGGCAACAGATCTTTTTTTTTAACTCATAAATTAATTGTTATATACTTTAGCAGGAAATAAACGAATGCATTTAAAAAGCATGTTATCTTGTCCTGGCAGTTAGTGTCAGTTTCTGATTTAAATATGTTAATTTGTGTGGGAAGGTCAAAACAGAAAACACAAAAGAGCAAGATTTAAAAAACCATTTCAAAAGAGAATATATATATATGGCTACCTTCAAATTTTGACACCAGGGAGGCAGGCTCTGTGGCCAAGTGGTTCAGTTCATGCACTCCACTTCGGTGGCCCAGGGTTTCATCAGTTCGGATCCTGGGCGCAGACCTAGCACAGCTCATCAAGCCATGTTGAGGTGGTGCCCCACATAGCAGAGCCAGAAGGACCTACAACTAGAATATACAACTGTGTACTGGGGGGCTTTGAGAAGAAGAAAAAGAAGATTGGCGACAGATATCAGCTCAGGTGCCAATCTTAAAAAAAAAAAAATTGGGGCATAAGTATTCCTTGGAACATGGGGAAACTTGTGTTTCCTTGCTATTGAGAGCTCTGTGCTTATAATTGCTATTAATTGTCCACTTCTCTGAGGCTTACCGTTTTAACCTCTCTTCTCCTTGATCTTCTCACCCCATGGTTCTGTGGTGGAAATATTGGACCTTTCCCTAGAGGCATGTAGGGAAGAGGATTGCTGTGTAGATTCTTTACGTTCATGACCACCTGAACTTTTTTTTCTTACTATTTCAAGCTGTCCTTATTTATTTCCTCAGCCACACTGTTATTGTGCAACACTCTCTGTAATCTGAGAGTAGTATTTTAGAGAAGATAGTGCTCATGGCAGCAAACATTGCAGCAATGGGTACTTATGGAGTCCTAGTCATTCTCAGTGTCCAAGATATAGAAGTTAAAGATCCGGCTCTTGCCTTTAAGAACTTCAAAAAAGTCATAAAAGTAAATGATTACAATTAAGTGAGATAAGGGCAGTGGTTGAAGCATGTACAGTATGTTGTTGGAGAAATGAGAAGGAGCACCTGACCTGTTTGCTGACTTGGAGAAAGTTTCTAAGAGAAGGTGACACCTGAGCTGAGTTTTTGAGGTGTGAGTGGGAGATGAGGGAAAGGAAGACTATCCTAGGCATCGATGTCAGAAAACCACTCGCATGTATGTTTGGGAGAACCACGTAGTTAGGTAAGAGTAGAATCAAGGGGACGTGAGAAATGAAACTGAAGAAGTAGGTAGAGGATATTTCCTAAAGAAATTTTTTTTTTTTTTGCTGAGGAAGATTGGCCTTGAGCTACTGTCTGTTGTCAATCTTCCTCTTTTTTTCTTTCTTCCCAAAGCCCCAGTACACAGTTGTATATCCTAGTTTCAAGTCATTCCAGTTCTTCTATGTGGGATGCCACCACAGTATGGCTTGGTGAGCAGTGCACAGGTCCGTGCCCAGGATCTGAACTGGCGGACTCCAGGCCATGGGAGCAGAGCGCACGAACCTGACCCCTGGGCCACGGGGCCAGCCTCTGAAGAAATTTTATATGTTGTGTTTACACAGCCTTAAGGTTTAAATCTTAACTTTATAGGGGCCCATTTAAGAATGATCAGATTCATATTTTTGAAAGTCTAAGAAGAATATTAGGTTTCTGGCTTGGTTATTTGTGTGGATAACCTCTTTTACTTAAGTGGAGGTGATATAAAGAGTGTCCGGTTGGGGAAGGAATCTGATGCCATAAGCGTGGAGGCCAATTAGGTTGCCATCTCAGTAATCCAGAGAAGTGATGAAAGCCTGAAGTAAGGCAGTGGCACTGAATCTGGGGAGAAGGGAGATGAGCAAGTTTGCATGATATTTAGGACAGTTGGCAACTGGGTGGATGATGGTGCCTTTGCTAATAGGAAATATGGGGAGGGGAGCAAGTTCAGTAAGGGTAATATAATAATTTCAATTTGGGATGTGTTTGGTTTGAGATATGAGAGCCAAAATTGGTGGTTTTTAACTTGTGGATTATCATGTCATGGACCAGATACATCACAAGGTGTTTGGGAGACATCCAGATAGAGTTAGAAATATAGTGCCAGAGCAGAAGACGGAGGTCTGACCTAAAGATGCAGATTTGGCAGCCAAAGCAAGTAGGTTGTATCTGAAGCTAGAGGTCTGCTTGAAATCTTTCAATGAGACCACAGAATGAAAAGAAGACTGGGGATGGGTAATCATTGGTGTACCCGTGACTCGAAGTATGGCTTCCTGTTAGAGTCTGAAGGAAAAATCTGGACTCCTTGCCGTGTCCTCCAAGACTCTAATAACCTGGCAACTGCTACCTCTCTGATTTTGCTAATCTTGCTCACTGGGCTTCAGCCATGCTGGCCTTCTGTTTCGGAGACAGTAAGTATGGTCTGTGCTCAGAGTGCTCGTAGCCCCCTCTGTATGGTATGCTCTGTTTTACCAGAATTTTACATTGCTGGCTTTTTTTATTATTGAAGTCCCAGCTCAAATATCACCTCCTCAGACAGGCCTTCCCCAACCATTCAACCTAAAGCAGCTTTCCAATCGCTCTTCCTCATTAGTTAGTCTATTGTCTTTCTTTATGTATTCTCTTTCCACTGTTGTGCTGCAGTAGCGTTGTACTGGATCTCAAGGCTGATTGTTGAATTTCTATGAAGTTTGCAAGCTCATTATTAAAACACAGCCATTATTAAAAATTGTTATATAAATTTACAATTAAGTAAGTTCTGTAAAAACAAAAGTAATAAAAACTCAGCACTTCCTAATTATTTTACTAAATGTTCCTATTGTCTATGCAATGTTTGCTGTCATCATACTGTAAAGTGGAAATCCTGTATAGCAATGGTGACTCCACATCTCTCCCTAACTCTGTGTTCATATTGATCGCTTGAAATCTGCTGTGGTGGGAGTATATATACTACAGAAACTGGCAAATGCTATAAATTAGGACTCCTCCATAGTTAAGCATTTCCCAGCACACTACTGGTGGTGTCCCTAAGTGAACTTAACTTGTTTGTTTGTTGTCTGTCTTTCCTTAAGGGAGTGTCAGCTCCCTCAGTTCACATTCTTTGTCCACCTTGTTCTTGCTGTATTCTCAGCCTGTAGAACAGTGCCTGGTACGTTGTGGGCTCCCAGTAACTGTCTGTCGAATGAATCGATCGTCTAGAGCAGTTGAAAGAGAGGTATAAGGAGGGGCCTGTTTAGCTATCCATCGGGAGAGGGCTGCTGTACACATTAAGACAGGGAAAACAAACAGTGGGGAAAAATACTTCACCAGAATCTTCTTACTTGCGCTGTTCTTTGTCTTGTGCTCCTGGGTGAGTAGCTGTGTCAGTATATTTATTTTGTGATGGTAAATACTTCTCCAGCATGGTGTAGGGAAGGCCGCTTAATGAGCAGAAGCACTCAACCCTGGCTGCGTGTAGGAGTCACTTGAAGTACTTTTAAAAATAATTCTGATGCCCAGGTACCAAATCAAAGAATTTCTAGGGGTGTCTGGGCATCAGCATTTTTTTTAAAAGTACCTCCGGTTATTTTAATGTGCAGCTTGGGTTAAAAACCACTGGATTAGACATTGGGTTGGGGCCAAATTGGGAGAAGTTTGAGCTTTAGCCTGTGAATATTGGGGAGCCATCACAGGGTTCACAAAGTGGCTTCATTCAGTAAGTTGTTTTTTCATTCTATAAGCAGTGATTCAGTTCCTTCAAGGAGCTGGGAATACAAAAATGTATAAGACACATTACCTACTTAGACAAGAAGTTCACAGTCTTGTAGGGGAAACACCAAATACAAGTTTAATGAAGTATTTTATTTTATTTATTTATTTTCTTTTTTGAAGAAGATTAGCCCTGAGCTAACAACTGCTGCCAATCCTCCTCTTTTTGCTGAGGAAGACGGGCCCTGAGCTAACATCCATGCCCATCTTCCTCTACTTTATATGTGGGACGCCTGCCACAGCATGGCTTACCATGCGGTGCCATGTCCGTACCTGGGATCCGAACCAGTGGACCCCAGGCCGCTGAAGCGGAACGTGTGCACTTAACCGCTGCACCACTGGGCCGGCCTCCTAATGAAGTATTTTAGATGCTGTCATGAAAATGTACTGAGAGTTCAGTAAAGACTCAAGGAGGAAGATGACCAGTTCTGTCTAGGTTAAGGAGAGAGTTGGGAAGTGGTACACAAAGGAGGTGAACAAGAGCTGTGGTTGACAGCTAAGCGTTTTCCTGGCGAACAGTGGGGACAGGCCATTTGTAATTGCCCTGTCTCAGTAACTGGTCCCACCATGCACCTGGTAACTCATAAAAGAGACTGTGTCTGTCTTGATCACCACTGTATCCCCAGCACATACCACAATGCCAAGCATGTAATAGGTGCTCAAATATTTGATTCATGAATGCCATTCTTAGAGATAGCAACTTAAACAAAGATTTGGGGAGCCATGAGCTATAGTTCGTTTGGGGAACTACAGGTCTTTGTACAGCTGGACTGCAGAAAGAGGGGAAATGGTAGAGAGGCAGTTGGTGGCCTGGGGTCATATGCTAAGAAATGTGGACTTGATCCTGGTGATAGCAGAGAAGCATGGAAGGATTGTAGATGACCATATTCAGCAAGCTTTTCAAATTATATGTGCCAGTTGCTCTCCCTTATGGGTTCTTGTCCTGAGGACTGACTCACACTGCCTCCCTCATACATATATATCACCAGCTGATCCTTTTCCCACGCCCAGGATCACTAAGTGGGAAGTCTCTAAGATCCCTTTTATCCCTAAAATTATGTAATTTATTATGGTAGTTTGTTGCATTCCACCAAGTCTGAGCCCATATAACTGTATATTACTTTAGTAATGAGAAATGTGACATTTGAGAAGGTTCTCCAGCCTTATAAGCAGGAGTATGTGCTATGTTACAATGACTGCAGTTTTACACCAGAATTCTAGCAGTTAGAAGATTTTTCCTTTATATATTCTCTATACTTTATGTCTGTGGGCATAAAAATGTTCATGTTTGCATATTCACATGTTTTGCATCCTACCGTTTTATATTGAGACTCCCCATAAATGCTCTTGCCTCTATTTATATTCTCATTGTGCCTAGTTGTGGTCTGAGTTTAACATTCTGTATTTTTTTATTACCTCAACATTCAGTCCTTCAATTATTGACCAGTAATGCTATATTCCAAACATGGCTAGATGTTGCAAATACAAAGAGGGCACAAACTGTCCTGTCCTCAAGATAATCACATTTAGTAGGGAGACAGACATGGAAACGATTACAGTGTTATGGGATATGTACCATAGTAGATATATATACAAACAGTCCCCAGCTTACGATGGTGCTTGCAATTCTACACATTCAGTGGAAATCGTACTTCAAATTTTGAATTTTGATCTTTTCCCGGGCTTGCAATATGCAGCACGATCCTCTCTTGTGGTGCTGGGCAGTGGCAGGAAGCCACAGCTCCCAGTCAGCCCCACAGCCATGCAGGTAAATAGCCGATACACTGGTAACCATTCTGTTTTCACTTTCAGTACAGGATTCAATAAATTACATGAGCTATTCAACACTTTATTATAAAGTAGGCCTTGTGTTAGATGGTGTCGTCCAACCGTGGGCTGTTGTAAGTGTTCTCAGCATAATAAGGTAGGCTAGGTTAAGCTATGATGTTCAGTAGGTTAGGTGTATTAAATGCATTTTCTTTTTTTTTTTTTTTTTAAGATTTTGTTTTTCCTTTTTCTCCCCAAAGCCCCCCGGTACATAGTTGTGTATTTTTAGTTGTGAGTCCTTCCAGTTGAGGCATGTGGGATGCTGCTTCAGCATGGCTTGATGAGCGGTGCTGTGTCCTCACCCAGGATTCAAATTGGCAAAACCCTGGACCACCAAAGCAGACCGCGCAAACAACCACTCGGCTGCAGGGCCGGCCCCTCAAATACATTTTCACTTTATGATATTTTCAACTTACAATGGGTTTATCAGGACATAATCCCATTGTAAGTGGAGGAAGATCTCTGGTAGGTAAAAAAAATCCTAATGAGGAAGGCAGCGTAATACTGTCTGGGGAACTCAGAGTTTTCACAGAATAGTGTTGCCTAAGCAAGGATAACAGAGGAACAGAAGAGCGTTCCAGGCAGTGAGATGAGCGTGTGCAAAGGCCCAGAAGCATGTCAACAAAGAACTGTATTGGGAAAATGCAAATCACTCATTGTGGAGTGGACTATGAGCGTGGTGGGCAATGAGTCTGGAAGGGAAGGAAAGGCCAGGTCCTGGAGGTTCTCATATAATGCCAGAAGTGGCTTGGGTCTTATTCTGGAGGAGGTGGGGAGTCATTTAAATATTTTAAGCAGGGAACAATCTGGTCAAAACTGTGTTTTGAAAAGAGCACATGGCAGCATGAAGAAATGATTCAAAGGGGTCAAAACAGGCAAGGAGACCAGTGAGGAGGCTACTGTGATAAAGAGCACAGGCTGGACGCGTGAGTGAGGATTCAACATGATACGTTCTTAAAGGCCGTGTTAACAGGATTGGGTGGATTGGATTTGTAAAGGGTGAAGGAGTAGGGGTGTAGAATGATGCAAAGTGATGTAGATGGCTTGGTGGTTGCTGGTGGAGATTTCAGGAAATAATCAAGTTGTAGGATTGTGTAGGGGAGGAATGAGTTCAGTTTTGGAAAGGCCACGTGTGAAGTGTTTGCAACTAAATATGTATATTGAGAGCTCAGATGGGAGAAGAGATTCAGAAGCATGCATAATGAGTGTTTCAAACCAGTTGACCAGGTAGAGTACTCAGCACACTGTGTGGAGTGAAGAATAGAGGGTTGGAGATGTTAGCATGTTAAAGGAAATGGGAGGAAAGAAGACATATTTATAGTTTGGGGGGAAATTTCCCCCAGAGTGAGAATCACTGGATTAGAGAAATGAGGTCTATTTTCCGCTGAGACAGGGGAAAGTCATGTATTAAAAACCAAAGTAGGAAAATTTCAGGGTTGTTGGAGGTAGAGAAAGGAAGGAGCACTTGAGAATGGTGTCATGGCATAGAGAGGTCCAGCGGGATGAAGCCTAGAAGGAGGCCAGAATGTAATGATTAACTTCAAGAGACGTAATAATTGTTGTGGCACTTTTTGTAATAGTGTGAATGAAAAATAATGCAAATGTCAAACACTAAAAATAATGTTCTGGAGGGCCAGCCCCATGGTGTAGTGGTTAAGTTCAGTGTGCTGCACTTTGGTGGCCCAGGTTCGCAGGTTCAGGTCCCAGGCACAGACCTACAACACTTGTCAGCCATGCTGTGGTAGTGACCCACATGTAAAGTGGAAGAAGATTGGCACAGATGTTAGCCCAGGGCTAATCTTCCTCAAGCAAAAAAAGGGGAAGATTAGCAACAGATGTTAGCTCAGGGCTAGTCTTCCTCAGTAAAAATGATAATAATAATAATTATCTGGAAGAAACTTAAATGACATGGAGGAGTGTTTGTGACATTAAGTGAAAAAATCAGGTGGCAAATCAAAATGTACGTGTGGCAGGTAGAGGGAATGTGTCTACATCATAGAAAAGCATTCACTAAAATGGTCTCTGGATCTTTGTATGACAGGTGATTTTAATTTTCTTCTCTGTGCTGTACTCTATCTTCTAAATTTGTACAGTGAACATATATCACTTTGGTAATTAGAAAAAATTAAGTTAACAGAACATAAAGGTGAGTATGCACCTACTAAAATGTTTTAAAACAACATTTAATATAGGGAAGTACCCATAATGTAATTGGAAAGGCAAGATAAACTTTATTTGGTGTGGCTCATGTCTTGAATTAAAAAATTATGTATTTCTGTAGCTATGAATGAAAAAAAATAAGGAAACTAATAAGTGTTAAGAGTAGTTATTCCTGGGGTGTAAAATTATGGGTAGTTTATATTTGCTTGTTTGTATGTTTCCAAATTTTCCATAATTAAACGTGATGAGGAGTGTGGGAGGGTGGTTGTTAGGATTAAGGTGTGTGAAGCCATAGGCTGGCGTCTGAATCGTGTCTCTGCCTGTTGGGAGCTCTCCCTTAGGTGAGTTAGTTCGCTTCCCCATGCCTTGGTTTCCCCACTGTAAAACAGGAGTAATGATGACAGCTATTTCATAGGTTTGTTGTGAGGCTTGTTCCTGCATGTATGTAAAGTTCTTAGAATAGTGCCTGACGCTTAGTAAACAACCATGCCTGTTAGCTATAATTATTATTATTATTGCTACCATGTCTTTTATAATCAGAAAAACAAACTCTTAAGAAGTAACAATGCAGAAGTCGTTGGTAGCCTGATAAACAGCAGTTTCTGCGGCTTGTTGGATACAAGCTGAATTGCAGTGGGTTGAATGGAGATAAAAAAGTCATCACAGCAGATACAGACCACTCAATAGGTATTTATATGGGAGCACTTTTTTCTTGAGTGAATTTTCCTTTTGTTTGCACCCAGGTAGTTTTATTTAATTTGACATAGTTTTGAGTTTGTAATGTATGCTTTGATTTAATTTTTAAAGCTAAGTAGAAGAGGCAGACAGAACAAGTTTATCAATGTGATTGATGAAATCTTGTAAAATTGTTCAGATTACTCTAGAGTTTAATATCTCATCTTTACTCTCTTTGTTAACTTTCCCAAAGGGGTACTAGCTTTACAAAGATAGCAATAAGAAATATAATAATAAACTATTATGATAATTCAATATCAGTTTGTTGATCCTAATTATCACACATTTCTTTTTCTTAGTATATGAAAATCTGACACTAGAACACTCTGCTCTTGTTCATATGTCATAGAATAAAAATTTTGGCAAAGATGAAACCTTACCAATGTAGTCCCTAATCTGTCTTAATTTATTTTACAATATGTGCATTCCTTTCTTTCATTTGCCTCATCCACAGAAGGAGCTCAAAAAGTGGGATGAGTTTGAAGATATTTTAGAGGAGAGGAGGCATGTCAGTGACTTGAAATTTGCAATGAAATGCTACACACCTCTTGTCTATAAGGGAATTACTCCTTGCAAGCCAAGTGATATTAAAAGTAGTGTTCTCAATTCTGAAGAGGTCCGTTATGTCATTAAACAGGTAAGTAAGTGAGTCCCTCTTGAACCATAGCCAGATTTGTTCGTTGTCAACAAGTTCTTTCTCTTCTTGATTCTCTGAATTTATTTTGTTATGTCTAACAAATCTTTTTAAATTTTGCTATATTCAGCACATTCATCAAATGTTTATCATATTTATAATGTATGTTGGCCTCTTTGCTAGAAACTGGGGGGTTTCACAGTGAGCAAGTTGAACAGAGTTCTTGACCTCTTAAATGCATAGTCTGAGAGGGGATGATGGCAGTTGTACACTCTGTTGGAATGAAATACGATACAAGACGTGCTAGTGGAAACCCAGTGTGCAGGGCACTGATTCGTTATGGGGCAACTCATTCTGTGTAGGGAATTAAAGAAGTGATTTTTAAAATGAGGTGTGAAAGGTGATTAGGGTTTTTCCAGGTGAAGTGGGTGAAGAAGAGTGTTCCTAGCAGAGCAAATAACTTTTCCCCGGGTTTTCAAACCTCACTGCACATTAAATTATTCAACGAGCTTTCAAAATTCCTGTGCATAGATCTTACCTCCATACCAATTAACAGATGGTCAGGGGAAGGAGCCAGGCATCAGCAGTTTCTAAAGAAGCTCAGTTGATTCCAAAGTATAGCCAAGTTTGGGAACCACCAGCTTATTTTAAGGACTAGCAAACCTGCATATTCATGGTACTGAAAATAATTCAATGTGGCCAGACTGGAGAGAGCAAAGAAAGGTAATGGTAAGAACTGAGACTGGAGAGGTTAGCAGGGCCACGTCATGAAGGGCTTTTTACACCAGATAGAGGAGTTGGATTTCATGCTATTTACAGTGCAAAGCCATTGAAAGGTTTCAAATTGGAGTGTGGCATGATGCATTTATGTTTTAGAAACACCATTCTGCTAAAACTGGAGACAGGAAGTCTGTTTACATGCTCTTGCAGTAATCCCTTTGTGGGATCATAGTTGCCTGGACTGGTAAGTGGTTGTAGAAACAGAGAAATGGACAGATTTAAGAGATTTGAGAGGTGGAGTGGACCTTATTTAATGACCTTTGGGTGCGTGAAGTGAAGGGAAGGAAAGCATCAAGGATGATAGAGCCGTTCACTGAGACAGAGAACTTGGAAGAGGGAATGGCCTTGGGAAAGAAGCTGAGTTCTGTTTTGGACATGGCACTTGAAGACATCAAGATAGAGGCATTCACTAGGCCCGATTAGAGCTTCCTCTTGGCTGGCCCTCCATGTCACATTGTCTGCACCCTCCCATGCCTTGAGGTTTGCCTCTGGAGATCTTGCTTCCTTGACTTTTAACTGGAGTTTAGTCAGATTTATGGCCTCAGGAACGTTCTTTATCTCTGTTCTCTGTTTTCTTCTGATTTGGATGACCTATGCTCCTAATCCTTTTGTTTTAATCTGTCTATCATGATTTATCTTGGAGGAACTATTAGTCTTCTCTTGACCTATTTCATAAGTGAATTCAAGTTTCCTCATCAGTTAGAAGCTAAAGACTGGTTCTCAATACTGGCTCTTTGTTAGAATCACCTGAAGAACTTTGGCAAAAAGTTAGCTATTATTATCCACTAGTACGTGAACACCATGAAGGCAAGAATTTTTCTCTTTTTCATTAATATTCCTAGTGCCTAGCACAAAATACGTGTTCAACAAATATTTCTTTAATTAGTGAATGAAAAAAATGCTTGGGTCCCATCCACAGAGATTCTGACTTAATTGGTCTGGGGTAAGACCCAGGTATCTCCTTCCTTTTTTTCCTTCTTTTTTTTAAAGTTCCCCAAGTAATTCTAATGCACAGCCAGATTAAGTGTGACTGACTTAAACCAGGGTTTCTCAGACTTGGCTGTACTGCTCAGGAAAATCATATCATCTAGCTAGATTGGAATTGTCACAAATTCATGATTATGCAACACAACTGGGACCTCTGTGTTACCCAGTAATTCTTTGTTTTCCTAATGAATTCTCTCCCATTCTCCAAAATGGTAGTTTCAGTAGCCACTTTCTCCTTGGACCGCCCACCCTACCTCCTCCTCTTACTCTCAATAGATGACTTTTCCTACATCACGAAGAAAATTTAAACCATTATATGAGAACGTTCTCAACTTCCTGTGATCAAGCTACTAATTTACCAGCATGTAATAATACTCATCATTTTCTTCTTCCCTCCTTTTAAAATGGAAGAGGGATCCTCTTCTTCTGTTTGAGTTTAATCCCTACCCTCCTTCTTTGCTCTGAATTCCGCTTCCTTCTCCTCAGTGACTATGCCGTCTTGTCTCTCCCTTCAAATGTCTTCAATTTCTTCCTCTTTATTAGCTCTTTACCATCAGCATTTAATACGCTTACTTCTCTTTCAGCTTTAATAGACCTCCTTTGACCACATTCCTTCTCTCTTTATTAGCCAGCTCTCCCTTTCCCACTTCTGCTCTCTCCTACTCTTTGAAGAAATTGGCTGTGTTGTCTGCGCTTATTGCCATACTTCCTCACCCTTCATCAACTGCTAAACTCATTGGAATCTGGTTTCCAACCCTTGTAATAGCTCTTTCCAAGATTGTGAATGATGCCTTCCTTAGGGCTAAAATCAACCTTGTTCAAATCCTTGACAACCTTTGGCACACTGTCTCTCCTTTCTTTCCATGACACCGTACTCTCCCTCTTACCTACCAAGTCTTTTTGATCTTTCTCCAGTTGTCTTTATGGGCTTCTTTGCCTTTGCCTGTCTCTCTAAATGCGGCTATTCCTCAAGATTTTGTTCTAGCTCCTTCTTACTCTACCCACTCACTAGGCAGTTTTACTTATTGCTAGAATTTTAAGGTTTTAAAAAAAATTTTTTCCTTACGCTGATGTCTTCTTATAGTAATATCACTATATAATAATGTATTATAAATAAATAATACATCATAATGTAATTTAAAATGTAGATAATATCTATTGCTTCAGCCCAGATCTCTTTTAAGTTTCATATCTATATTTTTAGACGCCTGCTGGAATATCCACTTGGAAATCCAAAAAGCACCTCAAATTCAAGATGTCTAAATCAACTCTTTGACCCTCCCGCCTCCACCCTTGTACCACCTACATTCCGCACCCACCCGGTTTTCCCTCTCTCCAAGAATGGCGCCTCCATATGCTAGCCGCTCAAATCGGAAAATTTGGATGCCGTCTTCAACTTCTTGCTTTCTTTAGATGTGCTGTCAGTCACTCAGAGCTGCTGATTTTCTCTCCTAAATAGCTCCTCTTGTCTGTTTCTTTCCACCTCTGCTGTCACTTCTCTAATGCAGGCTGCCTTAATCTCACAGAATGCAACAGCAGCCATCGAAGGGGTTTGGGCCAAAGACACATGTGATTACTTTTGCATTTGAGAGACCACTCAGGTTTGTGATCTGGAGAATAGACTGGAGAGGGACAAGGAGTTCTAAGACTATTCCTGATTTTTTATGTCTTATCTTAGATTTCCAGGAAGAGGGATCTAGAGGGACAGGCATATCTGTTGGGACAGGGAGAAGCCCAGTTGCACAGAATAAGAGGTCAGGTCGTTCCCTCCTTCTCTGCTTTCCTCCCCTCTCAGAGAAGGCATTCCTTCTGAACAAACCAGCCTGTTCACGTGTGTTCCTCATCTATCTAATTCCTTCAAATTCCCAGGGGTCTTGTTTTTCCTACACTTCAGCCTTCTCCCCTGGCTCATGCTGGCATGAGCATTTTCCATCTGGAGGAAGGTCCTCTCTTGGCTACGTATTCTTTCCATTTAATGTTCCATTTCTCTCTTTCCCTCCTCAAAAGTGTAGGTTGTCCTCTTTTCCCATTCATGTCCCAATTTTAGCAGATTGCTGAAACTCATGCAGTATCTCCAAGTGACCCAGTCCAAGGGAACATTTTAGTCTTCATTTTATCTTTGACTAATAACTGACTATGTCAGTTATTGTTGGACACTTTCTTCTCCTTCAGGATCTCTTACCTTGACATTTATGAGATCATACATTATAGTTCTCCTCTTACATCTTCCTTGTTTATCTCTTTCATAAGTTCTTCCATCTGCCTGATAAGTGTTTCTCGGGGTTGAATCCTCACCCTTCTTAATCTTCCTCTCTGCAGTCCCCTAATTCATTTTATCCATTCTCATCATTTCAGTTTCCATCTATAGTCTGATGATACTCAGTCAATATCTCTAGCCTTGGCTAGATTATTCGGGTTCAGACATCTGTCTCCAACTGTCCTATTCCCTGCTGGACATCTTAATTTGTATGTCCCACGGACACCTCAAAGTCAGTATACCTGCCTTCTTAATCCCTGCACTGTACTGCCTTCTCTCCGTGATCTGTATTCCCTATTTCAGAGGATGGCCCTACCATCCGCTCTCTTGCCCAAAATAAAACTGAGCATCACCCTACCCTTTCCCATCTCTTCAGCACCTCTTATTACCTTTGTTTGGGCCTTTTGTGTCTCTGGCCTGAACTATTTCAAGTTATCCGACTGCACTCCTTCCCTAGGCTTGTTTCCTGAAATCCATCCTTCCCACCAGTCATCCCTTGATTCCTCCATTTTCCCTCTGTCTAGTTCTGCCCTCTTCCTATCCAGCCTTGGTTAGGATTATCTGAATAGCTATTTCACCAACATCCTTAATTCTCCTGTGTCCCAATCTTCCTTCCAGACTGCCCAGGAAAAAAAGCAGTCCAGCATCTGTGCCGGTGCACCTTCTCTCTTCGTATAACCAGGTCCCTAGCTGGCTGCTGCCAGGGGGATGGGCAGAGTTACGCAGATCGATGCTCTTCAAGCTCAGGATCCCTCTTACGTCAGTCCCTTTTCTAGTGCTGCTTCTCCCTCCCTTCCCCGCAGCCCTACCAAACCTTCATGCATCCTTAAGCTGTTATTAGACCCTACCTCTCTTGCCACTAGCAAACAATCATTTATTTTTCTTTGGGTTAATGAAAAATAGTAGAAATTATCTTCCTCAAATTCCTGTTCCTTGTCTTCAAATGTATCTGTGTCTACACCCGTTCCCATGTATGCTTTTTGAGTCTAGGCTCAGAGACAAGACTTCTGTTCTCCTGGTCAAGGCTCGCCACACATCTGTCTTGAGGCCATCCCTTTTAGCCTCTTCTATGACCTTCTAGTAGGCATCCTGTCCCTTTCCTGGATCTTCAGCCTTTCGTTCTCTTCCCTTTAAACACCTCCAAGGCCACTGAATAGTACAGTTAAAAATGGTTACAATGGAAAATTTTATGTTATGTATATTTTATCATAATTTCAAAAAGTGGGATGATGATAAAAAAACAAAAAACAGGTCCAAGGCTTTTCCAACTTCGGAAAGCATTTTTGCTTTACCTGCTATCCCCCCCTCCTCATTTGGACTTTTCATTACTCATTCTGTAGCTACTGTCTTTACTTCCCAACTTCCTGCTTATTCAGTCTTCAGTCCATTTGTATGTTATGTAGGTTATCTTCTGACCCTATTACTAAGCCTTTCTTGCTACATCACTGTTTTAGATAACTTTTGAGTAAAATAAAGAAATACAGGTTAAGAGGAAATAGTTTATCCTAGTCCCACACCTTTGAGCCTATTAAATCGAGCCCTCAAAAAGTTAAGATATGGGGCTGGGTAGAGGATGATTGTACACTTGTGAATGTACTAAATGCCACTGAATTGTTTACTTTAAAGTGGCTAATTTTGTTATGTTAATTTCGCTTCAATTTTTAGAAAAAGAGGAGATACTTTTTCACTGCATGTAACTGGGGAAGTTGGGGCTCCAACATCCCATCCTCTGATGTTCTTTCTGTGCCTCATCCTAAAGCAGAGCATTCTCTTTGGGGAAGGATGAATATTATTTATTACTTTGACTTTACTCTTTTCAAAGTGCTTGTTTAGAGGAAAGTTAAAAGGATCAAATTAGACTTCCTTGAGAACAGAAACTGTGACTTGTTCATCTCCAGGCCCTTGACAGTCCTGGAACACTGCCAACATTTTGTTCTCGTAAAGATGTGGGATGCCATATGAATAAAGAGAGTTCCCTTGTGAGATCACTGATTTCACTAATTACCCTGTGATAGCGTGGGGATCTTTGTACCACTGTCCTATATATCTGATACCCTGAATGGTTATTTCAATATAATCTTGTATTTTTACCTTGTATATTACCTTGTAATAGCATTGAGCAAGCAGTGAAGTACTGCAACAGTCTACTGAAAGAAACTACTCAATGCATGTTCTAGGACACTAGATCATGGGCAACAACTTATTTTAGAGAATTTGGATGTAAGCTCGTTAAATTAAATGGAAAGGTGAGATGTTTTCTTTAGTCTAAAATGCTATTATAGAAACTGATTCTCTTCGAATTTCTAGTCTTTAAATGTGTCTAAATAGTATCATGTATCCACTTTTGTTATGTTGGAAAATAAATTATGTGAATTTGAGGAGAAAACATAGCATTTTTAAGTTATACAGTATTGATCCATTTGAATCTCAGTTAAATGAGTTCTGGCCCCTTTTTTTCCAGAAATTTATCCCTGCTTTCCTTTTCCTTTTAGCTTTCCAAGGAATCCCTTCAGTCGGCCGATGTCCTCCGAGAGGAAGTTTGTGAGATCTTGGATGAGATGAGCCACAAACTGCGGCTGGGAGCCATCCGGTTTTTCGCCTTTGCCCTGAGCAAAATATTTAAACAGATTTTCTCCAAAGTGTGTGTAAATGAAGAAGGTATTCAGAAAGTAAGTATTGCTTGTTCAAAAACAATCTCTTCCTCAACCCCTCACCATGTAGTCAACTCAAAGACTGACTGCACTAGGTGAGCAGGCCCTAATCGTCAGGCGTCTGGTCTGGCAGAAGAGGCTCTCCCTTTCTGGAGGCTGGTGTCTCTTCTCTTGACCTGCAGACCCGCAGGCTTCAGACTGCCACACTTAGTCAGGTGGGACTGACAGACTAACCTGATGTCAGATGTTCACAGAGTTAAAGAAGGAATAGAAAGGGTTTCCGTCTATGCTTCACTTGGCTTCTCCAACATTTTCTTTGTCCTTTCCTCAGCACTTTGGGGTGCTTTTCCTGTAAACAAAGATGTTTCCTTATGGTGCAATTATCAAATTAACATTGATATAAGCAAATTAACATTGATACAATACTACTAATACAGACCTTATTCATAGTTCCCCAGCTGTCCCAGTTATATCTTAGGTAGCAAAAGAATATCCTACATCGCATGTTACACTCAGCTTTCATACTTCTTTAGACTCTTTTCATCTAGAACAATTCCTTAGTCTTCGTTGGTGTTTCGTGATATTATTTTTGAAGAGAACAGACCAGCTATTTTATAGTGTCCCTTGATTTGGGTTTGAGTGATATTTTCTCAATATTAGATTCAGATTGTGTTCCTTTGGCAGGAATGTGTCAGAGTGATGTTGTGTCCTTCTCGGTGCATTAGATCAGGAGCACACGGTGTGTTTGTCCCATTACAGGTGATGTTCACTTTCATCAGTTGGTTAAGGTGGTATTTGTCAGGTTTCTCCACTGTAAGTTACTATTTTTTCCCTTTGTAATTAATAAGTATCTTATGGAGAGATATTTTAAGAATGACTCAGGTCCTGTTTTTCATCATACTTTCCTCCACTAGTTTTTATATCTACAGATGTTTTTTGCCTGAATCAGTTCTATGCTAATGATTGCCAAATGGTGATTTTTTAATTCCATCACTCCTATTATTTAAGTTTGCTTTTTCTGTAAGGCAGAGGTTTCCTTATGAAGATTATTTTTATTCAATTATGGGGTTTTTGGGGGTTTTTTTGCTAAGGAAGATTTCGCCCTGAGCTAACATCTGTGCCAGTCTTCCTCTATTTTGTATGTGGGTCACTGCCACAGCATGGCCGCAGACAAGTGGTGGAGGTCTGCGCCTGTGAACTGAACCTGGCCACTGAAGCATAGTATGCCAAGCTTAACCACTAGGCCACAGGGCAGACCCCCTATTCATGTGTTTTTTGTTTTTCCTTCTTCCCCCCAAAGCCCCCAGTACGTGGTTGTATATTTTAGTTGTGGGTCCTTCTAGTTGTGGCATGTGGGGTGCTGCCTCAGCATGGCCTGATGAGCAGTGCTAGGTTCGTGCCCAGGATCCTAACTGGTGAAACCCTGGGCCACCAAAGCAGAACACACAAACTTAACCGCTCGGCCACAGGGCCGGCCCCCCATTCATGTTTTTTAATACTTTCTTTTCTCTTACTCGGAAGCTCCTACCTTCATTGGCCTTTGTCCTCATGCTTTTTAATGTTTTGTTTTTATTCAGTCATTTACTTTACTTTCAAAGACTTCTTTTTCCTCCTACGACTATTTTTAGGTTGCTAACTTGCTCTCTGGATCTCTGTCAAGGAATGTTTGCTACAGTGTTTTGGGCCAGGGAATGTTGGCTGGCCATGTCTTAACTGATCACAAATTACCCTGCCTTGGTTAATTATATTGAAATTTCAGGAAAACAGATAATTCATTGATACTAGTGAATATTTTTGAGATTTACAGCCTGAGAAATGTATCTGGACGCTCAAATGCGTCCCTCCTAACTATATGGCATCCATCGCCCTGGCAGTGAGTCAAGTGTATAAATAGAGAAATACAGTTATTCTCATTTGTCCAATAATTCATAGATTCTTTTTTAGTCTCCCCAAGAGAAGCTTTGTTCTGTCTTACTATAGACAGCCAGTCTAGTGCAACAGTTAACAGTTCACTTTTTAATTCAGAGACTTCCCAGAACTGCCATTTATTAGATGCATGGACCATGTCACAAACAAGGAAGCTAAGGCTTAGGCCTTATTTACAAGTATGTGGTATTAAAGAATGCATGCAAAATGCTTGGTAGGTAAAATGTTTAATATGGTGCCCAACTAATATTTGTTAGTGATCATCACTACTATTGTGATTCATAAAAATATACATTTTTAAAACTCTTGCATTGTGTGGGATTGTTTAATTAGAACTCTAAAATAGGCTTTGTGTGTGTGGTAGGGGAGGCTGACAAACATGGTTAGTATTCCCTCTGTGCATATGCATGTCCTTCCATTTTCTGACTTGAGATATGATTTTAATGATGTGAAAACTGAAATTACTAAAAATGTAACATTTGTTTTAAAGCTGCAACGAGCCATCCAGGAGCATCCGGTTGTTCTGCTCCCTAGTCATCGAAGCTACATTGACTTTCTGATACTATCTTTCCTCTTATACAACTATGATTTACCTGTACCGGTCATAGCAGCAGGAATGGGTAGGTACCGTTTTTCTACTTTTTTTTAATTAGAAAAGTTAAAATGTTCACTGGAATGATTTTAACACTACTGAGGTATTTGAAGAAGGTGATAAAAAACACCTCTCCCGTCTTCCTTCCAGTCCAGTGTCTAATAGTTTGGATTATGTCCTCTATACTCGGCTTTCCTGTGCCTAAACATAGATAAGCGTATATGCTCATAGGGGTTTTGGTTTAAGTTTGAAAAGTGAGATTATACTGCCTATACGTATTACCTGCCTTACCTGCCTTTTGCTTCTTTTTAATTTGATAGTATATCAATGGCTATTTCTCTAGGTCAATAAATGGATCTAACTTTCTTTTTATATGTTTTTAAATTGTGGTAAAATACACAAGACATAAAATTTACCTTCTTAACCATTTTTAAGTGTTCAGTTTAGTGGCATTAAGTATATTCACGTTGTTGTGCGACCATCACCACCATCCATCCACAGAAGTCTTTTCGTCTTGCACAACTGAAACTCTGTTCCCATTAAATACTAACTCTCCATTCTACTCTCCCCCTCAGCCCCTCGCAACCACCATTCTGCTTTCTGTCTCTATGGCTTTGACTCCTCTAGATACTTGTATAAGTGGACTCATCCAATATTTGTCCTGTTGCAACTGGATTATTCCACTCAGCTCACAGTCTTCAGGGTTCATCCATGTTGTAGCATGTGTCTGAATTTTCTTCCTTTTTAAGACTGAATAATATTCCATTGTATATATAGACCACATTTTGTTTATCCACTCCCCTGTCAAATGGATACTTGGCTCGCCTCCACTTTTTGGCTGTTGTGAATAGTGCTGCTATGAACACAAGTGTGCAAATATCTGTTCTGAGTCTCTGCTTTCACTTCTTCCAGGTATATACCCAGAAGTAGAGTTGCTGGGTTATATGGTAACATTATTTTTAATTTTTTGAAGAACTGCCGTATTGTTTTCCTTAGCAGTCACACCATTTTATATTCGCAGCATCAGTGCACAAGGGTTCCAATTTCTCCACATCCTCACCAACACTTATTTTCTGTTTTTTTTTTTAATAATAGCCCTAATGGGTGTGAAGTGGTATCTCATCATGATTTTGATTTTCATTTCTGTAATGATTAATGATGTTGAGCATCTTTTCATATACTTGTTGCCCGTTTCTATTTCTTCTTCAGAGAAATATCTATTCAAGTCCTTTGCCCATTTTTAAATTGAGTTGTTTGTTCTTTTGATCTTGAGTCATAGGAGTTCTTCATATATTCTGGGTATTAACCCCTTATCAGACGTATGACTCACAAGTATTTTCTCTCATTCCATGAGTTAACTTTTCTCTCTGTTGATTGTGTCCTTTGATGCACAGAAGTTTTTAATTTTGATACAGTCCAATTTATCTGGTTTTTTCCTTTTGTTTTCTGTGCTTTTGATGTCATATCCAAGAAATCATTGCCAAATCCAGTGTCATGAAGCTTCTTTCCTATGTTTCCTTTAAGAGTTCTGTACTTTTAGGTCTTGGATTTAGGTCATTGGGTTAATTGTTGTATATGGTGTAAGGTAAGGGTCCAACTTCATGTCTAACATTTTTGATAGCTATATATTATTCAGCCGTGTAGATGTATCATAATTTACCAGTTTTGCTGTTACAAACAATTTTACAATATATTTTTATGTTGGTGCTTTTATTTTTGTAAGATTGATTCCTAAAAGGAGGATTGTTAAGGCAAATAAATTGTTTATCCTCTCCCTTTCAAGAGAGCCAGGAAAGCTGGGATTCAAGCATACACCTTTGTTAATAAATGCAGTAAACAGTGAGGTAAAAACCGCCAGAGACTTAACCACTTTAAAAGCATTTTCATCTGTAGAGACGTGTGAGGAAGTTATTTGAAAATTAGGGAAAATGAAAAGAAGGACTGTTTTAAAACTGATGGTAAACTCTTCTTCTCATTCTGGACTTGCTTTATTTAAGCTGTGCCACTAAAAGAAGGTTGATATTTTTACCTGATAGGTAAACAAGAAAGGTGAGAGCTGGTTTGGCCTGGCTATCCACAGCATGGGGGACTCATGTTGGTCTGTCGTCAAGTTCATCAGCAGTCCTGACTAAAGAAATTGGCATGATGACGTTGTTGTGGTTCTCACAGTGCCTTCTGTTGCCCCCCACCCCCACCCCAGCTGTTCTGGTTGTAGGTCCAGAGGTGCGCGGGAAGGGCACAAGGTAACCTCCCAGCAAGCAGCTGCCCGGAGTCCCTTCTTCTCCATCATTCTATGAGATGTCTCTTTTTAGGAATTTTAAACTCAGAGAGTATAAGTATAAATATCATAGGGGTGTTTTACTTACATGAAATTTGAGTTTAGATTTTTATAGAAAGTTTCAGTATCTGCCAATAAATATTAACCCCGTCTTTATTTTCCAGACTTCCTAGGAATGAAAGTTATCGGTGAGCTGCTGCGGATGTCAGGGGCCTTTTTCATGCGGCGCACCTTTGGCGGCAATAAACTCTACTGGGCTGTGTTCTCCGAATATGTAAAAACGATGTTACGGGTAAATGCAAATAATTACCAAGTACTTTCAAGCTGTGTTTTCTTTTCACTGAAGTTTGCCATAAGATCTTATTTAAATTCTTAACTTCTGAATGACCGCTCAGCTATTTTTTCCCTTCAAGGAATGTGCATAGGCTCAGCAGTCTGTTTACTCTGTGCAACTCTCTTGTTCAAGTTTCACTGTGACCAGTGTTTGTTCAGAGGGCTGGGGAGGGGGCGGGGAAAGGAATCAAAAGAAGCATTTATCACTTTGAGAATAGGCAATGGGTTTTGTGTTTTGTTTTGTTTGTTTGTGTTCTCTCTTTAAAGAATGGTTATGCTCCTGTTGAATTTTTCCTCGAAGGGACAAGAAGTCGCTCTGCCAAGACATTGACTCCTAAATTTGGTAGGTCACTTACAGAGGGAAGAAAAAATATAAACCTGAAGGCTTTAGGTGTGATGTCATCAAAGCTGCTAATAGAACTTGACACATTTTTTTGCAAGACACTTTCTTTTCTTTCTAAGTGTAACTATTTAACTGTTTATATTTATGGGCTTAGTATATAAAGTACACTTTTAGTACCTTCCTGTTTATGTGCCTTGTTTTCTCTACTCTTCAATATGTATGTAAAAACTATTTCAATATGTATGTATGTATGTAAAAACCATTTCAATATGTAAGTAAAAACCATTTCTCCCTGTCTTTACAGGTCTTCTGAATATTGTGATGGAACCATTTTTTAAAAGAGAGGTTTTTGATACCTACTTTGTTCCAATTAGCATCAGTTATGATAAGATATTAGAAGAAACTCTTTATGTATATGAACTTCTAGGAGTTCCTAAGCCAAAAGAATCTACAACGGTATATAAAGGAGAGCCAAACTTGATTTTATTGGGGTTTAGAGGAATGCTGGTTTACGCATAACTAATTTCTGAATTTACTCCTTTTTGTTTTATTTTCCCCTGTTGTGATACTATTAGGGATTGTTGAAAGCCAGGAGGATTCTCTCTGAAAATTTTGGAAACATCCATGTATACTTTGGAGACCCCGTGTCCCTTCGATCTCTGGCAGCTGGGAGGATGAGCCGGAGCCCATATAACTTGGTTCCAAGGTGCAAGGCCTGTGTTTTCGTAACTGACATAGAAACAAGGGTGAAAATCTAGAAGTGTGAATTGTGATTCTTGAGTTGACCACTTCTAGGACTGAAACTGGGTTATTTGAGATTGCACATTGGGGAAGCAGAAAGCTTCAGTCAAAGAAGAATTACATGTTTGCCAAAAATAGCTGGAGACTACATCTGTCAAATATGCGAAATCAGGCAGAGCTCATTCTTCTCAGGGGAACCAGTACCCTATTAACTTGAAAGTAGGAAGAAACACCCCGTTATTAACAGTTCATTTGTGGGAATTGTTGAGCACTATTGGTAGACCAGCCAAAGTATGTACTAAGTATTATTTTTGAACCTAGAAAGGGTTGTATAATAATAATGGATGGGAATGAGTCCCTATTCTCAAGAAGGTTATAGTTTTATGGGCAAGGAAATACATTAGATTCTTTCAGGATGCAGGTACAGATATAAGTTTGGGTTTTCTTAATTTAGAGAATTATACATGGGGAAGTAAGGGAGACTGAAACCATCATTCATAATTCATAATAATAATAAAAATTCATAATTTATCTGTGGCACTAGTGGTCCCACAACAGCTAGTGTGCCTTGCTAGCAGCTTTGTCAGCTCTCAGAAGCAGGTGTCAGCTTTTTGCTCCCACAGGCTTTCTCTCTCTAGATCTCAAATTGGGTTGGCCAGTGGTTATCTAGTACAGAGTACCCTTATTGGCTACAGCTTTCACATTAAGCCACTTTATTATGTGGCTTGCTTTTAGGTCATATGCATATCCCTGCTCCAACCAGCTCTGGTAGGTTCTCCATATCATCAAGTTCAGGGTTTGGTGTCCATGCATGAAGAGTCTGTCAGGCAAGGGTCATGGCCGTATTTGGCAGGTGCCCCTAAGCTTCTCAGAAGGGCATTGTAGCAGTCAGAAAACTGTACAGCCTGTCCCGTGCAGACATGAGCAGTTATCATATAACTGATAAGAGTGTTCTACAAGAGTGTTCTACAAACACTATTTTTGAGAAGACAGAGTAGTTCATTCTGCTGAGGGAGGCACTGGTTTTCACGGAAGTGATATATCCTATTTATAAAGGAACAAAAGGTTTTTGCCCAGAACCAAGAATAATAGGACCCTGTTCCCTTGAATATTTTTATCACCTTTCAAGAGCATACCCTGGAGATGTATTGACAGGTTCCACTACAGTAAAGCAAAAGTGTACTTCCTGCACTGTGACCTGGTAGAGTTCAGTTGGCAGAAGGTGTGAGAAGCCCTCCAGAGGGTCTGTCTCCTCCCATTCCCCTCTCCGTTCACGTTTGTCTGGGTAGCAGAACTGTAATTTGTTGTTCTGTACTCTTCCTTTTAGATATATTCCTCAGAAACAGTCAGAGGACATGCATGCCTTTGTCTCTGAGGTTGCCTACAAAATGCAGCTTCTGCAAATTCAAAATTTGGTTCTGAGCCCGTGGACCCTAACAGTTGCTGTTCTGCTTCAGAACCGGCCATCCATGGACTTTGACGCTCTGGTGGAAAAGACTTTGTGGCTGAAAGGCTTAGCCCAGGCCTTCGGGGGCTTTCTCACTTGGCCCGGTATGTGTGTGGGACCTATGTGATGAGAATGCATGCTTTTTTACTTCTTAATTTGAAAAAGTTATGGCCTGGATATGAAAAACCTGTACAGGGCTTTGAGCAAAGCATTGCTCAAGACAGAAAGAAAACCTAATCTGTTTTCATCACTATAGGACATTGAACACAATGTGTTGATTATTTGAGAATACTTATTCACATGTCATTTCTCCCTGCGAGCCTTGAATATCTTGAGGGCCAGAATACGATCTCTTTGGCACCTAGCAGAGTGGAGAACAAGTAATGAACCCACTTGTTCTTCCCTCTACATGACCTCTTTTTATACCCCATTATGTTTGCCACCCATTTGCCTCACTAGATTGTATGGATTAAAGAGCTGGTCTCGTAGAACTTTACACAATTCTCTGATAATAACAATTTTGTAAAACCTTCATTGGAGTTATGAATACTGTGCTGGGTGTTTGGGGTGTACATGACAATAGTTAGCTCAAGTTGGTTTCAATCTGTTTGATTTAAAATTGTGGAGACTACAGTTGGAAATGCAGTCCTTTTCAGACCAGATAATTATTTATAATCAAGTACCTACTGTACTCATTAACCTGTATTGAGTACCTGGTCGCTACTAGATACTACCAGGGGTGCAAAGATGAACAAGTTTCAGCCTCTGTTCTGGAGGTTCTTCTGGTTTGTGGAGGGCAGAGGTGGGTGGGTAACGTGTAAACAGGTAAAGAGGGTTTGGTGAAATAAAGACAAAGGGCTATGGACAAACTGCAGAGGGTCACTGAGAATGCTGTGTGGGAGAGGGCCCACACTCAGGGACAATTTCTTAGAAGGGATTTTTGAACCGATCTTGATGGAAAAGTAGGAGTTCTTCAGGAAGACGAGCAGGAGAGGATATTGCTAATGTAGGGATTAGGAAATGGGAAATGGTGGGACAGCACTGGCTATTCCCTTGATGTGCAAGTGGTTTGCTAACGTCAGAACGTTGGCTGTGAGTGAGGGAGTGAGGGAAGAGAAGGATGTGGATGGCAGCTGGATCGTACAGGCCTGCATACCTGGGGATCTGACTGGAACCTGTAGGTTATGGGAAGCAGTTGCATGTTATTTATTTTCAGTTTTCCTTTTTTCTTTTTTACTCAGATTATCCCATATTCCTAAGCATTCTCATATCTAAAGCTTTTTCTGACACATATATATTATTATAATATCATATTACATAGTATATGAAATATATGGGGCCGGCCTGGTGCCATAGTGGTTAAGTTCACACACTCCGTTTTGGCAGCTGGGGTTCATGGATTCAGATCCTGGGTGCAGACCTACACACCACTTATCAAGCCATGCTGTGGTGGCATCCCACATACAAAATAGAGGAAGATTGGCACAGATGTTAGCTCAGCAACAACCTTCCTCAAGCAAAAAGAGGGAGACTGGCAACAGATGTTAGCTCAGGGCCAATCTTCCTCACAAAAAAAAAAGCATATTATTTATGTGTGTGTGTGTGTATGTATATGTATATATATATAATATTATCATATACTGTATCATTACCTCGAGCAAGCTGCGACAGGGCAAATTAGTACCGAACAAATGTGATGGAGTCCAGGAAAGCCACTCCTCTCACTTGTGCCTTCCATGAAGCATTAGCAGAACTTGTTGCCCGGCTTGAGCAGTGTGCCTGCTTACATACCTCTGTCAGCCACCTCTTTGGCTCAGGTTAACGGTAAAATGACTTCCCTTGCCAAGAATATTTTTGAAATATCACCATCTCTTCATTATGCTTCTGGAATTCTAATTCTTCGCTATCTCCAGGCCAGTGTAGTGGCAGGTGGTGAGTTACCAGAAACTGTTATGGGTCCACTTCTTTAGTTATATTTGATGTACAAAAACCAGAAAACCCCTCAGCATCCCTCTGTGCTCCGAGAGGCCTGCTGGGAGGAGAGTGCCTCTTTGGTTCACCTGCAGAGTGATACTCTTGCCATCTTGGAATTGGTCTAAGTGAGGTTGTGTGTGTGTGTGGGAAGCATTTTTTAATATACTCATACACTAATCATGGGCCTTCTTAATATTGTTAAATTCACATATGTGATTTTCTTGTCATATAGCTTACTTTTACACAACTTTAAATTCCCTTGGTTCTGAGGAAGTGTTGGTTTTCAGAGTGTGAATTGATGTGCATTTCGGAATGGCTGCCAAATTTGGGGTAGATAAGAAAGTATGTTACATGTCCTTCGAGAGATTTGATTTTTGAAATAGTACTTTTAAAATATCCTTCACATATGGTATCATTAGCTCAATTGGTAGAACCTAAAACCAGTACTTGGCGCTTAAAAATAAATATGTTAGGTCACTAGCATTGCTGCATGCTAGGCCTAAGACTCCCAGCAGTGACCCATCCCATTTCTTTGCCATTTGCCTGAATGCATTGTCTTCGTGTGTAGATAATGAACCTGCTGAAGAAGTTATCCAGTCCAACATTCTTCTGCATTCCAACATCGCCAGCCTCGTCAAAGACAAGGTGGTTCTGAAAACGGACTCCGGAGACTCAGAAGTGGTCGATGGACTTATTTTCCAGCACATCACTCTCCTCATGTGCTCGACGTACAAGAACCAGTTGCTGAACGTTTTTGTTCGTCCCTCCTTAGTAGCTATGGCTTTGCAGATGACTCCTGGGTTCAGGAAAGGTAACTTTTGGGAATGTGGTCTTGAATTTTGGAAGAGACCTGGCTGTTCAGTTTCATGTAGGGAACAACGTTTGAAGCCTTATAAGGCTCAGCCACATGTGTGCAGCCACACCCCGGCAAGGAATGGGGCCTGTGTGCTCAGAAGTTAGGTTTTTTTCCCTAAATACATAGCCATGTGCTTAGAATTTGGGAATTGAAAGCGACCTAAGAAATCATCTAATCTAAACCTGTCCTTTTATACATAAGGAAAATCGGGCCTAGAAACTTACGTGACCACTTAAGGAAGGATCTGGGATTAGGGCACAGTTCTCCAGTTCCTGCTTTGATGTCCTTTTTGTGCGGTACCAGTTCTCTCACTGGACAGAAGCAGACGGGGTGACCAAACAAGCCAGCAGCGTGTGAGTGCTCACTAGATGCATGGGAGCATTCTAGTTGCCATGAGGAGTGTAGACATGAGTCAAACAGTTTTTGTTCACAGGAGCCTGTAGTCAAGGCCAGGAGTCTCTACCCAGACTACACGTTAGAATTACTGGAGGGTGAGCCCCACTCCCAAAGGTATGGATCCAACTGGTCTGGAGTGTGGACCAGACATTGGTGTTTTTGTTTTTGTTTTTCAAAGCTCTGTAGATAATTCTAAGGAAAGCTCCGGGTTGAGAGGCACTGGGCTCAGTCCCAGCCCTTTAGCCTTGGAAGGAAGCTCAGAGGTCCTGCGTCTGTGCCCTCATTTTGAGAGTGAGGAAACGGGCCCAGAGAGGTCAGGTGATTTAGTTCAGGACACAGAAAATTCGCATCTTGACCTTAGTTCTATCTGAGGTTTCTTACATTAGAATTCATCTACAACTAAGGGCCACATGCAGGGTCTTCTAGAATGTTATGAACACTCTGAAATTGGAGGCAACATTTTGTATCCATATGTATGTGTATTTTTCTAATGAGAAAGTTGGTAGCATATATCAGAAAGGTGGAGCCTCTGTAGTTGATGGGCAAGGTAGACCTACGTGTCTGGAGAATAAGACAGTATCTTCTACTCTTGTGTGCTGGGGTATTCTAGCGCTAAAGATATAGTAAAGATATCAGGAAATATGAGTATAGAAGGGAATGAAGAAATCTCTTCCTTTTCTTTTCTACTAGGGAACCATGGGTAGGGGACAGCAAAGGACTCTGGATTCTAAGGACTGTGGCGTCCTGTTCATTTCCAGACTGACTGCTAGAGGCCTGGTTGTAATTTAGAGTCAGCCGTTAACACTATCCTAGACTGTAGTTTGCTCTGTAGGTAAAATTTGGGTTAGTTAAAGCTTCCTTTGGGGACCTTAATTCTTGTCCGTGGTATATTAGTATGTCTTTGAAATGCTGCATTTTGGAGTACCATGGACTTCTTGGTACTCTCCGAAAGTTTTAAAAGCAATGTTGTAATTTTATGTAATAAATTTATTTCCAGAGGATGTCTACAGTTGCTTTCGCTTCCTACTCAATGTTTTTTCAGATGAGTTCATCTTTCTTCCCGGAAACGCACTAAAGGTAAATGCTTACAGGCAAAGAGCAAGCGTGTTTGCAGTGTGAGTCCTGGAGACGTTAGGCTGGGATTCACAATGTGTCATCCCTTTCTTCAAGGCTGCGTGCAGCAGAATTAATGAGAAACTTGGACACTCACACTTCAGCAAACTCTTATTTTGACTCTTGGTCAAGTTTAGTCAATAATTTAGGCATTATTTGGTGAGAGGAGAGTCATTCTTTGAACCATTAGTGCAGGTACCATAAATAAACCAACTCTATTTTGTTAAAATTTACCAACCAGCACACATTTTTCTGTTAGCAACTTGTTGAAATGAGTTGGGCCTTTTGCTTTGAGATTAGAGAGCAGTGGTCTTGCCTGGTGGTATAGACAACTGTAAAGAATCGGCCTCCCATAGCTGGACTGCTGGTTAGCTGGAACGGGGCCGGGGGGTGAGACAGGATAGACAGAAAGTGGGTTAGATTTCTGTATGCTGTGCTAAGGAGCACAGGTTCCATTCTGTGGAGGAATTTTTGCGCATACGCCTAATTCTAAGTATTTTGAGGACTTGTATGCACTTTCTATTTAAATTTAAGGGGTATGGCTGTGCAAAGTGAAAGAAAATCCACCACCTAAGTCATGACTTCTAAGGCTCATACAGTTTTTGTGTGTTTGCTGTGTTTGAGATTTCAGGTTTTGAGTGTTAGAACAAGTTTTCTCTGGCTACAGGCTGACAACCACGACCGTCCAGGAAGGGTGGAATTAGCGGGCGTTCTCCTGTCCTGAGGGCACGTGACTGCATGTACTGAGAGCAGCCGTGTCCTCTTAGCCCCAGTCAGTGCGTGCATTCTGTCTTCTCTCTTCCCCTTCCAGGACTTTGAAGAGGGCTGTTACCTGCTTTGTAAAAGTGAGACCATACAAGTGACAACAAGGGACATCCTAGTTACGCCGAAAGGAAATACTGTGCTAGAATTTTTAATAGGACTCTTTAAACCTTTTGTGGAATGTTATCAGGTATGTAAATCTTTTGCAAGTTCCCCTTCATCCTCCCATATCAAATTTAAGGAAGACTTCCCACCCTGTACTTCTGGTCTCAAGGGCAAGTATTTTCCCCAGGTGGATGGCAGAATTAGAGAGATTGGTTAATAGGATGAGTGATTCCGCCTCTCAGGTAAGACCTTGCTTCTTGCTTACAGGAGGTTTGGTCTATTACAGAGCCAAGAGGATAACAGCTCTAGGATGCCATGAGCACAGTATTCCTGTCACGACAGTTATACCCAAGCACTGTTGAACTGTATCTTATATCTTTTGTTCATAGCATGTAGCAAGGTGTTTGATACATAGTAGGCACTCAGTAAATGCAAGATCTGAATGATACATAAAGTCACTTATTTATATTACTAACTGCTCATGCTGGAAGGGAAAGAAAAGGTTCAAGTGCAGGTATCTGAGAGTTTGTCAGAGCTCTAAGGAGGGGTTAAAGACAGGGGATGGTATACACGCCCAGCAGGAATTGTGCCAGGATTCAGAGGGAGACGGGGAGTTTGAGATGGAACCTTCAGAGGGGCCCGTACATATTTGGGAGAAGAGGACTCTGGCTCTCCGCTCTGTGTGCTGGTTAGAGGCACCCGGGACCACCTTCCTGGCAGAGCAGTGCTGTGGGCAGTGAAAGAACCCATCAGCCTCCTCACACAGAGTCCAGCACTTAGTAGGTGTTTAATAAATGCTCCTTCTACCTGTAAGCACCTTTTGACAGTAGAAATCATCAAGTATTTTAGCTTAAAATACTCATTATTAGCTGTTTTTAGAGAAAAAACAAAGTTAGAAAAAATCTGGCCCCTCTCTTCCTAAGCAGCGTAAGATATATTAAGCTGACAGTAATTTGCTTAACTTGCAACCCCTTAAAGTGAGAAATTATATTTTAATAAATGTCAATACTATTTCAAATTCTTTTTTTCCTTATGGTAAACACTGATATAAGCTCAAGAGAGACCTCCTAAAAACTCTGTAGCTTTTCTGTGCTCAAACCTTGGAGGGTCTTTATTCTGCTCTAATATAATGTGTCATTCTGTTAAGAGGCAAGGTGAAATTATTTACTGTTGTATTGTATTTGTCTGCCCTTTTCCTCTTTCTGTTCCTCTCATCTTCCCTCTTAAAATCAGATAATCTGCAAATACCTCTTGCATGAAGAAGAAGACCACTTCACTGAGAAACAGTACTTGGCTGCAGTTAGAAAATTCACAGGTCGTCTTCTCGATCAAGGTTAGTCACAGCTCCGTGGCTGCTGAGTTCTCTTAGTGGAGAGGAAAAGGTGGTCCGCTGACTCTTCCTCCCGCTCTGTCTTAGGTGCCTCGCAGTGTTATGACGTGTTATCTTCCGATGTACAGAAAAATGCCTTAGCAGCTTTTGTGAGGCTCGGGGTGGTAGAGAAGAAGAAGGTGTAAGTATCGTGCAGACCCCCATGGGGGCAACGGGGGCTCCGGGGTGGTCATGGCTCACAACAGTTGATCGCGAGAGGGAGGGAGACGTGTGATCTAGTAATCAGGGCATTGTGCTTACTCATCCATCTCCTGATAGTTAAGTCAGTATGAGTTGCCATGCAAATTTTATGTGTGGTTGTGAATAAAAAAATGTTGAAGCAAAGAAAGAAGGTGTTTTAGGCCAGCATTTTGGCTTTGACCTAACATTGAAATTTATGGATTAATTATAAGAAAGATTTTTGGGGGAGTGTAGTGTGTGTTTATATGCTCTTACATATACACACATACGTATGTGTGTGTGTAGCTAGATAGACAAATATTTACTCTTCTGAGCGAATGAATTTGAGTGATAAAGCATCATGGGTAAACTCTCCCAGTATCGCTCTTATGTGGTCAAAAGAATGAAGCACGAAGCCAGGAAGTAGGACAGGGGCAAAGGGCCTTTTTAATTACTTAAGACTGGTTTTGAAGAAGACTGTTTAAAATTAGTCTTACTATATAAACAATGAAAGTTGTCTTTTCCCCCTAGTTTATGCAATAAGAAAGCTTATTACTTTTTCTCCTAGAAATAATGACTATATATTTAATGTGAATGAACCTGCCACAGCAAAATTAGAAGAAATGCTTGGTAAGTACAGTTTAATGCAACATGATGGGTTTTCACATTGTGTTTATCATCAAATAGTAAAATAAGAAAGTATACTATGGCACAAAATATGTTATCAAAATGAACAATGGAGTTTTAATATAAACAGAAGTATTTATATTATCTAGAATTTTCTCTAGGAAAAGGAGTAAGTGCAAAGAAAATTAGCAGAGAAAACACAACAAGCATAAAATAGGCGGTCTTACACAACATAAAAATTGTCAGCTCCTAACGTAACTGATCAGGGTCTGAGATCTAGACTCTTCACGTCTAGTCTTGGTGGACATGGAGAAAAGGCCTGTCATTGTAGTCCTTGCGTTCGTTCTCTGCCTCTCCACTCTCAGACCCCTTCTTTCCCAGGTAAGCACTTGGGGTCCGTGTCCACATCACAGAGACTTTCTGAACTCAGAATTAGGGGCTGATAGCACATCCTTGGGAAAATAACCCAACCCTTGCTCTTCTCCAAATCCTGTCAGCTTATAAAGAAATAGTCCAACCCAAAAAGGCAGGGGCATTTGTTTATGGTATACAGTAAGAGTCAAGAGTATTGATATAAACAAAGATATAAACGATCGGAGGAGGTAGTGAACACTTCTCATACGAATGATAGGGTAATCTTGGGGAGGGTGTTAACATTTGAAAAAAATAATTATCTGCTGATTATATTGAATAAGCACTAAATCATTGAGTAGATATGCTTACAAGTAGTGTTTTTGTACCTAATCTTAATTTAGTACATTTGTCAAAGCTGCGTGGAAGAGCTTCAGATAGATGTCTGTTGGGGTTAGGGGCAAACCAGGACAGGGCATATGGTTAAAGGAGAATGCTTGAAGAAAAAGGGTAGAAGGGCAAAGGACTAGTTGACATAGATAGGGAAGGTGAAAATACTAGTTTCTTACTGAAGAAAATATGTAGGTTGAAATCCCAGACTTCTATTTATATAATGCCTGAGATCTCAGACTATGTAACCTTGAAACTCAATGTTGAGTTTGGTAAGAGGGGCATGTAGCTAAAACAAACGCAAGCACCTTCATCCTGTGAGGATGATAGACTTGATTTCTTAGTCGTGGAAGCCAAATGTAATGTGGGTGTGAACATACTGGAACATACTGGACTTGAAGTTCAGAAAACACGACTGGGCTCCAATCCTGGCTCTGCCCTGGCTGGGGGGCAATGGCTGTGCCCATCACCTCTTTGAGACGCTGCTGCTTTTCCGATAAAGGGGGCTGGTGTCTCCATTGGTGTTTTGTCAACCTGTAAATCTCTGCTCAAGAGTCAGGTGTTTCTCTTTTGCCAGTGGCTTAAACAGTTGTACAAGGAAGGGCAAACTCAACATCATTTCATGTGCTGTCTCTCTTTTTTTATCTTAGGTTGTAAGACACCAGTAGGAAAACCAGTGACTGCAAAACTTTAATAATTGCCAAAGAGTTATGGAAAATTTGGTCACAGAATTACTGTCATCCAAGGACTCTTCAACAAACAGGGAAGTAAAGGAAGAGACCCATCTTCTCGTACTTCGTAAGACTTTGAGAAGTGTGGGCTCACTAGAGAGGAAGAGATAGGTGATCAATGTAAGCAATCAGTGTCGTCTTCTCCGCCACAATGGTTAAAAAGGCATTTGTATCCAACTCTGTGTGTGTTTTAAAATAAAACAGTCTTTTGGAAACATGTTTGGAAAAACAAAGCCCAGTTCCTACTTCACTAACACTTTTTAACTTATTACAGGTGTTAAACTTTTCTGTTGACTTCTGAGTTAAAGCGTGACATCAACACTAAAGACCTTGGCTATCAGAAGAAAAGTACTGGAAAGGGCATATCTTGCATTTCTCATGGCTTTCTTTAATTAAAGTTGCCCCAAACAAGTACAAGTTTGACAGAGATATGATAAATTAGCTGGTTTACATTAAATTTTGGCACCCAAGGGCCTTCATCAATGAAACTGAATTAGAGAAAGTGTGTGCAACAGAGGGAAGTTGTGTGATGTGTCATCAATAGGCTGAAGAATTCAAGGCAAGAAAACTTTGAGATAAGATGGGTGAACACCAAAAACCTGGATGGCTAGCCACTTCTGGAAGTGACATTTAAGCTGAGAATTAGGAGGAGCAGGAGCCAGCCCTCGAGGCGTGGAGTGGGGGTGACAGAGGACGGGACAGAAGGGTGGGGTGTGTAGAGAGAATAGTGGTCAGCATGTCCTGGGATTGGGTCTAGAGGACCTGAAAGACCAATGCAGCTGAAACAAGAGTCATGGATGGTGACATTAAAAAGAAAGGCAGGGGGCCGACCTGGTGGTGCAGCAGTTAAATTTGCACGTTCCGCTTCTCGGTGGCCCGATGGCTCTGCTTGGCAGAAGCCATGCAGTGGTAGGTGTCCCATGTGTAAAGTGGAAGAAAATAAGCATAGATGTTAGCTCAGGGCCAGTCTTCCTCAGCAAAAAGAGAGGATTGGCAGTAGTTAGCTCAGGGCTAATCTTCCTCAAAAAAGAAAGAAAGGCAGGTGTCTTAGTCTGCTTGGGCTGCCATGATGAGGTACAGAGACTGGGCGGTTTGAACAGGAGAAATTTGTTTTCTCACAGTTCTGGAGGCTGCAGGTCCAAGATCAAGGTCAAGATCGTTGGTCTGAGGTAGACTTCATTCTGAGGCCTGTTTCCTGGGCTTGTAGGAGGCCACCATCTTGCTGTGTGCTCACATGACCTCTTCTTTTTGCACATGGAGAGACAGCAAGCTCTCTGGTGTCTCTTCTTATAAGGGCACTAGTGCCATCAGACCAGGGGCCCACCTCGTTACCCCATGTAGCCCTAATCACTTCTCGAAGGCTCCATCTCCAGATACAATCACATTGGGGATGAGGGCTTCAACATCTGAATCTGGGGGCCACAGTTCAGGCCCTAGCAACAGGGGTCAACATATGCAGGGACCTAGAGACTCTTGTAAAACATTTGAATTGGAATATATATGCCATGGGAAATGTTGAAAAGTTTCTCAACGTGCTTCTAGGACTACGTGTATCCAGATTCCTGGAATGTGTGTTTGTTCCCCAGAGGCCAGGCCGTTCCTGCTGCATATTCAGGTTGGGGAGCCATTACACTAGTCCATGCATTGGTGGCGGAGTGGCCTGTGTGTGGCTCTACTTGTTGGGGAAGCTGGAGAAGATGCGTGTGTGTTGAGACAGACTAAAAGTTGAGGGGTCTCAATTGAATAGTGTTCTCGGCTGAGGATTCTGTGTCATGCCAGCTAAACAAGGGCACTGAGTTGCTGCCCTCCAGGGAGAGACAAGGTGTGTCTAGAGCAATTGGGAGTCTGGAACCCTGGCCAATTCTTGTTGAGTAGTTGTGCCTTAGAAAGAATCCCCATATACCCAATTTGGTTATTTGTTTTTCTCTTCCATGACACTCATGCTGTGCATATAAATATTGAAGACTGAGTAAGATGACTTTTACTTACTTTTAGATCTGTTTGTAATACGTTTCAGGCTTGGGGACAAAGACTTGGAGTTTTGAGTGCAAGTGGCTGTAGACTTGTCTCCTGGCCAACCCGTACATTAGAGCCAGGCAAGTAGGCAGATGGTAGAGGGCCAGGAAAGTGCAGTGCAGCCACAATCAAATGAGGCTTTGCAACAGAGGCAGCTGGAAGAGAGGGCATAAGGAGAGCCTGTCTCCTCTCAGTCTCTTCAAACCCTCCCAAGTCGGAATAGCATGCTTCCCACACTAATATAGCTTCAAAGCATGTGCCCTGTGTCCCGCCCCACACACGCTCCCGCACACACCCGTGGTTTTAAACCACAGTGCTGTCCCTAAGCCCTTCCACTCCCTCCTATCTATAAATTCTGGAGCTGCCACTGCTTTGAAGTAAGTAAAAATAAAGGCCCACAGCATCTGGTTTTCCAAGGCAGTCTCCTACCCAAACACAGTCTAACGTGGCAGCTAAGCCTGCAGGGTCTGGAGCCCGACTGGATCTGAAACTCTCCCATATGCTAGTCCTGTGTTCTTGTGTGATTTCCTTAAACTCTCAAAGCCTCAGCTTCCTTATCCATAAGATGGGGATGATGATAATACCTACTATTGTGGTGGTTGTGAGAAATGTAAGTGTTGGTAAAATGTTTGAGACAGTCCTTGGCAATAAGTGTAACCTGTTATTACTACTAGTACTGACTGGGACGAACCCTACTTGGCTTCTCAGAGAAGGTGAGATTGGACTTTTCTGGAGTGGTTCGTGTGCCATAGGCACTTGCAATCCGCCTCAGCCCACCTCTCCAGCTCAGCCGCGTCCTGCCGTGGTATGGGGCTCCAGAACCCCCCTCACGGACACCCGCCATCTGCCAAGCTCAGCAGACCCAGACCCAGAGAAGTCACAGCTTTTCCCTACATCGCTCCTTCCTCCCACCAGTGGAATGGAATCATTCAGTGTAGGGCAGAAAATAGATTTTGGTGCCTTCTTTGACTTTGTTCGTATCTTTATTTTTTTTCCAAATTAAAATTCCCAGCTCTGACAGAAGTATAAATCTCCCGTCAGTAGGTTCAAACATGTCGTTTTTCTCGAGCCTGCTCTGGGCTGGTTGTTATCCAGGCTGCTGCATAGCTGCCCACCGGGGATTTCCCTTCACCGTTATCTTGACAATTCGCTTCGCTTTTCTGTGTGGATTCCCCTCTTTCTGGGATCCCATGTCTTCCTTTTTGTTAAAAATATCCTTTTTCTGCTTTCATAGTTGTCTTACTGGAAAGACGTTGGAATGGAAATGGAAAAAGCATTTCTCCATTGTCTTTTCATTCTTGAAGTTGTTCTTTTGAAGTCAAAAGAGCATCCTCATTCCTGAACACAAACTGTTTGCTTTCTCAGTTGTTAGAATCTCATCTATAGTTTCTGAAATTTCAGGTGTGCTTTGTTGTCGGTGTTTGTGTGTGTGTGGCTTAACCAAATTATCTTACAGTTTGGGGGGTCAGAAGTCTAACCACATTCCATGGCTCATGGCACCCTTCAAAGCCAGCAATCTCGGGGTAAGTCCTTCTTGTGCTGTATCTTTCTGCTTCTCTCTTATGCCATCCTCTTCCACTTTTTTTTTTAATTGAAGTATAATTGACCTAACATTATATTAGTTTCAGGTGTACAGTGTAATGATTTGATATGTGTATATATTGCAAAATGATCACCACAATAAGTCTGGTTAACATCTGTTACCATACATAGTTTTGAAAAAAGTTTTTTTCTTGTGATGAAAACTTTCAAGATCCAATCTCTTAGCAACTTTCAAATATGCAATACAGTGTTATTAACTATAGTCACCGTGCTGTACGTTACATCCCCGCAACTTACTCATTTTAATAACCTGAAATGTGTTCCTTTTGACCACCTTCACGCATTTTGCCCACCTCCCAACCCCCACCTCAGGCAGCCACCAATCTCTTCTCTATATCCTTGAACTCCGGTTTTTTTGTTTGTTTGTTTTTAGATTCCACGTATAAGTGAGATCATATGGATTTGCCCTTTTTTGTCTGACTTATTTCACTTAGCATAATGCCCTCAAGGTGCATCCATGCTGTTGCACATGGCAAGATTTCCTTCCCTTTTTTGTGGCTGAATAATATTCCATTGTGTGTGTGTACCACATTTTCTTAATCCATTCATTCATCGATGGGCACTTAGGTTGCTTCCATGTCTTGGCTGTTGTAAATAATGCTGCAGTGAACATGGGGGTGCAGTTACCTTTTCGAGTTAGTATTTCATTTCCTTTGGATAAATACCCAGAAGTAGAATTGCTAGATTATATGGTAGTTCTATTTTTAATTTTTTGAGGAACCTCCATACTGTTTTCCACAGTGGCTACGCCAATTTGCATTCTTACCAACAGTATACAAGGGTTCCTTTTTCTCCACATTCTCGTCAACACTTGCTGTTTCTTGCCTTTTTGCTGATAGCCATCCTAACAGGTGTGAGGTGAGATCTCATGGTGGTTTTGAGTTGCATCCCTGATGCTTAGTGATGTTGAGCTCCTTTTCCTGTACCTGTTGGCCATCTGTATATATGTCTTCTTTGGAAAAACATCTATTCATATTCTTTGCCCATTTTTTAACTGGATTTTTTTGCTGTTGAATGTATAAGTTTTTATATATTTTGGATATTACCCCTTATCAGACATGTCATTTGCAAGCATTTCTCCCATTCAGTAGGCTGCCTTTTCATTTTGTTGACGTGTTGTCGGTGTTTTCAAATCCTTTGTTCTGGGCCCTCGGTGGACCTTCTCAATATGTGTTCTTTAGTGCTAGGAAAGATGGTGTATTATTTCTTTTATAATTGGCTCCCTTCTGTTTTCTCCACTCTTTATTGCTAAAATCCATACTACTTTATTTTAGGACCTCCTGGCTTCTAATTTCCTAACACCCTGTTTTTGTTTCGTGGATGCAACATCTTCTTCTCTCTCTGATCACATTTATGGTTTTGTGGAAGTTTTCTTCATCTCCTGCACTTCTCTCTATTCTCTCCAAGTTTGTTTGGTTCTGCTTTTGCCTTTCATGTTTGAGATTTCCCCGAGATACCCAGTGACCTTTGGCTATCCATTTGCATTTGGGAGTGAGACCTCACAAAGCTGACCGACAGCTATCTGTGCATGGGTGGCCTTCCCACGGAGCGGGCTGCACAGGTCGGCTGCTAGGACAGAGGCTTGGCGGTTTTGCCGGGAG